ATGAACTCATTTAGCTTTTTCTTGTCTGGAAAAGTCTTGATATGTCCATTGATTCTAAATGATAGCTTTGCAGGATAGAGTAATCTTGGTTACAGGTCATTGCATTTCATCACCTTGAATATCTCTTGCCACTCCTTTCTGGCTTGCAAAATTTTTTTTTGAGAAATCAGCAGACAGTCTTATGGGAGCTTCTTTGTAGGGAGCAAACTGCTTTTCTCTTGATGCTTTTAAAATTTTCTCTTTGTCTTTAACCTTTGGCATTTTGATGATGATGTGACTTGGTGTGGACCTCTTTGAGTTCATCTTGTTTGGGGCTCTCTCTGCTTCCTGGACTTGTATGTCTGTTTCTTTCACCAAGTTAGGGAAGTTTTCTATCATATTGTTTCAAATAAGTTTTCAATTTCTTGTTCTCGTTCTTCTCCTGCTGGCACCCTTATGAGGTGAATGTTGGCATGCTTGAAGTTGTCCCAGAGGCTCCTTACACTATCCTCATTTTCTTGGATTCTTTTTTCTTTTTGTTGTTCTGATTGGATATTTTTTACTTGCTTATATTCCAAATCGATGGATTGCTTCTTGGTTTCTCCTACTCTACTATTGATTCCTTGTAAATTATTCTTTATTTCAGTTAGTGCCTCCTTCATTTCTGACTGGTTCTTTTTTATGTTGTTGATGTTCTCAATAAGTTCCTTGGAGGTCTCCTTAAGTTCCTTGAATGTCTTACTAAGTTCCTTGAGCAACCTTATAACCAGTGTTTTGAACTCTGCATCTGATTGATTGCTTATCTCCATTTTGTTTAGTTCTTTTCCTGGAGTTTTGTTCTTTTCTTTCACTTGGGACATGTTTCTTTGTCTCGTCATTTTTCCTGCTTTCCTGTGATTGTTTCTATGTATTAGGTAGAGTTGCTATGTCTCCCAGGCTTTGTAGGGTGGCCTTTTGTTGTAGATGTCCTATAGAATCCAGTGGCAGAGTCTCCCTGATCACCCCAGCTGGTCCCTCGAGGTGCACCCCTATTGTGGACTGTACATCTTTCTGTTGTAATTGAGTCTCGATTGCTGTTGGCATGTCAGTGGGAGGGATTTACTCAGGCTGATCAGCTGCAAGGACTGGCTGTGCTCACTGACCACTGGCCTCTGACTACCTTGGAGGATCAATGGTATAGGGACCCACCACACAGAGCAAGACTTACTTCATCAGGGCTCTAGTACCCACTGAGTCCGCTCATTGAGTGTGTCACTTGTGGAGGTATTTGGGTGGTGGTGTTCCGATGTGGTCTGAAGTTGTCCACTGGGTGTGCTGACTCTGGGGCAAGGTTAGCCACTGCCTGTGTTCTATCTGGGGTCACCCGGTAAGCTACAAAGTGATCTGCAGATGGCTGCTTTTTGTGCTGGGTTTGGAGGTGCCCAGGAAAAGCCAAGTTGTGAACCAAGTCTGGTTGCTTCTAGTGTCAGGCCTGGGGTCCCTTAATGAGAGACATGGGGCTCTCTGAGACCAGATACTGTTTGTTTGAGAGATTTTAGCAACTCTGAAGCAGGTTCCAAGACAAGCCAATCCTATGGTAAAGCCTTTGGAAACAGCTTGGGTGGGTCTGAATGTTGGGTGGGGCAGGGCCTCAGGGAATCAGCAGGGCGGGGCTACCAGTGTGAGCCAGGTTGCTGGAGTCCCAGATGTGGCAGCTGTCTGCTGCCCCAGGGAAGGGCTCACCAAAGGAACATCAGCCTCTACCAGCACATCTGTTCAGGAGAAAGCTGCCTCTCCAGGCCTCGTCCTGAGGCCAAAGAGTTCAGTTCTTCTCTGTATGTCTCTGGTGCCCCTCACGCTGTCTCCCCTCCAAGCTCAGAGGGAGCAAGTCCAAGTAAGTCTGTGTGCCCTTTAAGAGGAACTGCCTGAGGTTCCTGCTGCTGCACCCTCCCTCAGCCTCAGCCTCAGTTCCTCCTGTTTTTTAGCCAGAAGTTATGGGGACTTCTCTTCCTGGCACTGGAGCCCTGAGCTGGGTGCCTGGTGTGAGACAGGGTCCCCTCACTCCTCAGAGAGGACCCTCCCAGTTAAGGTGTCCCTCCTGATTTTTATCCGTCAGAGGTGGGTACGAAAGAAATCAGCCTATTGGTTGGCGCCTCTGGCCCTCCTACCAGTCTCGATGTGGCTGCTTGCTGCTTTTTAAAATTCATAGTTGTAGGACTTCCATTCAGCTCCATTTCAGGTGGTTCTGAAAGATGGTTGTGTTGTAGTTTATTTGTAATTTTGATGTGGTTGTGGGAGGAGGCGATACTGTGTTTACCTACATCATGACCAGAAGTCTCTCTCTCTCTCTCTCTCTCTCTCTCTCTCTCTCTATATATATATATATATATATATATTTAACCCTGCAGTGAGTTTCTCTAAGATATGAATCCTGTTTTATTTTATTTTATATCATACTATGGAATATAAATGTTTTGGGAATAAATCATCTCGGTTCAAAAGATACAACTAATAATTTGCAACAAATATATCCTTTAAGTACATTTACAGTTATGATTTCCATATAAACAAAGAAAAAAGAGCTAGACCAAAGTGACAGAATTTATTTATTTATTTATTTTATTGAAACAAGCAATTAATATATTTTATTTTCATATATTAATAGTTTTTCAGAGAACCATGACTGGTAGAGAGCAGAATAAAAGAAATAAAGATTGTGTTCTGGCCAGTGTGGCCCAGGGGGTTAGGTGTCATCCCATGCACCAAAAGGTTGCTGGTTTGATTCCTGGTCTGGGCACATGCCCGGATTTTGAGCTCAATCCCCAGCAAGGGTTGTTCTGGAGGTAGCAGATTCCTCTCTCTCTGATATGTGTTGCAGGTAGAGATTCCTACTGGCGCAACAAAAAGAGTTCTCTATGCTTCAGCTGATGTTTCTGTTTATCAGTCAAGTCAGCCTCGATTGTAGTTTCAGATTCTTCCTCAATTTCTTCTTGATTCTGCTCCTAAGTTTCTGGTAGCTGGAATTCCCTGGGGGCCCTCTTCTCCTCTACTACACCCAGCCTGACCTGCCACTAGCATGCTTGTCTGCAAGCATTGTAAGCGTGTTGGAAACATCTCGTCGTCTATAAAAGCACACTACTTCTGCTTCCACGTTGCCATTTGCAGTCTTGTTGAGTTCTTCTATCCTCCTGATTAGGTAGGGGTTGCTGGAGGAATTCTCAAAGTAGACATAATCTGTTGGCCGCCACGTCTGCCCGCGGAGTCCGAGCTGAGCCCTGGCCGCCTCGCCACCAGGCGTGACAGAATTTATTATAATCATTTTACCTTGTTTCCTTTAGTCATTGACCTAATTTCTTTTATTTAAAAAAATTTTTTTCTTTATTGATTTTAGAGAGAGAGGAAAGGAAAGGGAGAGAAAGATAGAAACATCGATGAGAGAGAACATTGATAGGCTTCCTCCTGCATGCCCCCCAACGGGGATCCGGCCCATAACCTGGGCATTTGTCCTGACCGGGAATTGAACCGGCAACCTCTTGGTGCATGGATCAATGCTCAACCACTGAGCCACACTGGCCGGACCCTAATTTATTTCATATTCTGTATTCTGGGTTGATGTGCAATTGACACTAATTATGTTTATTTGGTTCTGAACATGTTTTCTCCTGGCCTTCTTGTCTGAAGTGTGTTGGAGAGGCAGCATGGTTTGAGGTTGAGTGTGGACTTGGAAGCCAGACTTTGTGGTATTGAATTGTGGTTTTGCCATTTACTAGCTGAGCAACTTTGTGCAAGTATGTCACTCTGTGCCTCAGTCTCCTTATTTGTTATAATAGTACTTGATTCACAGGGTTGATATATTAATACCTGGTGAGGTTCTTAGTGTAGAACCTGGTATAAAAGTGACAGCTTTTATCTTTTATTTTTTTTAGCCTGGAGACAGAGCTAGGGATGCTTGAACTTCAAAGTCCTTAGAGTTCTTAGCTTATACCATTTCAGATCCTATTACACTAAATCAAATGGAGAGGACTACTAGGGATTCCCCAGAGATCTTCCCTCTACAAACTCGGAAGACACTTCTCCAAAGAGGACATACAGATGGCCAATAGACATAGGAAAAGATGCTGAACATCACCAATTATCAAAAAAGTGCAAATTAAAACCACAATAAGGTATCACTTTACACCTGTTAGAGTGGCTATCATCAATAAATCAACAAACAAGTGTCGGCGAGGATGTGGAGAAAAGAGAACTCTTGTGCACTGTTGGTGGGAATGCAGACTGGTGCAGCCGTTGTAGAAAGCAGTATGGAGTTACCTCAGAAAATTAAAATTGAAGCTGCCTTATGACCCAACAATTCCACTTTTGGGAATATATCTGAAGAACTTGAAACACTAATTCAAAAGAATATAATAGATAATTTTAATACGCATGGTATCTGAATACCTCCTTGATTTTATATCTAGTCTTTGATCCTGGGTCAAAGTTCCAGAAAAAAGATGCCCTATTTGAGCTCTGAGCACTCTATTCTTTCTTCTAAGAAAACTCTCTTCTGCATGCATCACCTCTTCAACAGTTTCAATCTAGCATCCTTTACTGAATCTGAAACCCAAGGTTAACTGACTGATTATTTATATTAATCAGTGGTAACATTGGTTCTAATTGGGGACACATAACTCCCAATTCAGGTTACATTCTAGTTAACTATGCTGTCTCCTGATGTCAACTTTGTATTTCATTACTTCCCTTAAATGTGGAATGTCTTTTCTAGTTATGTCAGTCTTTTATTTTCTTATGAAATGTACTCTGACTTTTTCCTAGAGTATTCCCATAACCAAACACATTTTATGCTCTCTTCATACATCATTTAATATTTTTTTCCCCTGAAACCCCTACATGAAGCCTACTCAAACCAATATCACTGTACCTTTTTTCATTTTATGAAGTCTCTCAGCCCTTGATTGCTATGAATTTTTATTTCAGAAATTTATTTCATGAATTTTATTGAATGACTGAAGACAGACTCATAGAAATTGACTAGAAAAAAGTTTATTCATTGAGGCTTCAAAGATACAAACACTTTTTTCTTTCATGGAGACCTGAGTTTGTGGAACAGGGACTCCAGGGAAGCCATTTCCATTGATGCAGTCTTCAAACATTTCCTTGATCTGTGATATTGGAAAGAATAGAAAATTAAGATGGACTTGGGTTTTCTGAGCATTGATGATTCCTTCTCTTAGATCTGGGTAGTACACTGCCTAAGGAAACCAATAAGTATAGTGGAAAACAAGATCCATTATTTATAATGATCAAATCAGCAATCCTATGAACTATCTGAGGTTTGACCATCAGTGGCCTTTTCCAAATAAATACTTTTTTAATAATAAGTTGCACTATGAGCAACATAATGTCTACAAAGAATACTGAGCCAGCATTTTATGGAGGAGATTTGAGGGACAAGACCAAGGGGTTCCTACTAAAGGAGTGTGAATTACTTACCTTTGCCGCAAGGAGCACTGTACTCAGCAACTGCAAACTCATCTGAATAAAAACAAAATCATTAGGTGAAGTGAGAGGGATAGCAAACACTTATGGGATAGGTTAGTGAAAGAATATTGTGGAAAAATTGTATCGTGTCAGAAACATCAGCGTCACTCACTTGATGCCTTGCTGGCTTCCTTATATTGTTAACTTTTCAAATGCAGTATATTATGTTTCCCTTTACCCTATATCCTAAAGGGACAGTTCAATGTTGTAGTTATTTAAATCTAATATTGTCATATAGTTGATTTAGCTGAAGAAAAGGGAACTAAATATCCTACAGTTATTTTGTATTAGTTGGCAGAGTGACACTATAGGTAGTTTCTACAAGGTATGTATAGACGACAAAGAGGAGAATCAGACTTGAAAGAGACAAAACTAAGTGATAAGAGCTGTTGATGTAATGAATTACCCCTACATGTTTCTGAAGTCTAAATTTCTGTGACCAGGAACTTAATTTCTGTGTGGAAGTTGCTCACACTCACCTGTCTCATAGTAATCGTAGACTTTCACTACGGCTGGTTTCAGATCTCTTACTGGGATGTCTTGTACAACCGTGAAGGACAGGCTCAGTGTCTGAATTGTCACCTAGAACGCAAAAGGGAATCAAATGAGCTTCCTTCTCTCTTTTTTGAATGGATTTAAGTATTTATTTGTTTTTTTGGGGAAAAATTTTTTTTTTCCTTTTATCAACTAACAGGGTCCTTAAATTGTGCAGAAAACTCCCAGGGTTGAAGAAAACCTCCTCAAATGGTTTCTTAAATAAATAAAGCAATTCATATATTCCCATCAGTGCTAGTACATGGCTTTATTTATAGAGGTGAATGACATGGCTTTTATTGGTTGGATAGCTATGTTTCTTTTTGAATAACCAGAGATTTGGCACCATTTCATTTCTTTACCTTGTAGAAATATTTGTTTTGACTCAAAAGGAATATAAAAGGTCAATCACTGTAACCTTGTTTAGATTTCATAAATTTTTAAATTGTAATATTCATCAATCTGTAAATAAACTATGCTACAACACATAACTATAAAATTAGAGTCGTTTATTGGTGTTCTGGTCTTATTATTTTATAGCCCAAGTCCTTGCTGAGATTGACAGTATTTTCCCCTTTTATATTGTTGATATGTTGTTCATATAATAATTGACTAACCCAATGGTTACTTCCTTACATTACTCAATATCTTCAAAGTAACTTGAGAACATACTAAGCACATTTTGTGGAGAATTTCTGGCTTATGGAATCCTAGAAATATTCATATCCCAATATTATAAGTCATTGTCATAGTTCCAGATATAAGACAAAGAAGGAGGGGAGAACATTTACTGAAATTAATATTAGAATTCTCAAATATTTAGCATGGAGGCGATGTCCAAAATGTCTTCACTCAGTTCCCAGATACCTCCCTTTGAGATGTTATTATCTACCTTTTTTTTTGCAAATAGAATGGCAGGGCTCTCACCTTATCCAGGTAAATCAAAACATGGTTGTTGCTAACTTCCGTTCGGCTTACATTATTAGATCTTTCAAGCTGAAGAAGATGAAAACATTACAAATTTTAATAAACAGAAGAAAGCCCTGGGGAAACCCAGATGAAAAGAAGAATTTTTATTACAAAATTAAGCCTGAGGGTAACATTTCTTCTAATATTTTTGTAAGTAAAGAGAGTAATGTGGTAAAAATAAAAGATAATTGGGATGCAGAGTTTAATATTAGTATGACACATAGCCTATGTATAAAGTTGATTTACCTGAAAAAAAAAAAAGGGAACTAAATATTTTAAACTTGGGAATTGCCCATATTTCAAGGTTTAATTGACATTCTATTCCTTAATACAAGAGGTTTTTTTTTTTCTTCTTTTGCTTGCTCTAACTTGTAGCAATCTCATTTTGTCTGACCTTCTGTAATACTTATAGTTTATATCAGTCTCATTTTCACACTTTTTCACTGATTTATATGTAGATTCTTTATCTTCAAAATCATAGGCTACATGAAGGTAAGAACCTGCTGACAATCTATGTTTTCTAGTAGGTGTGGCTTTCAGTAATGTTATGCACATGGTGGGCACCAATACAAAGATGCTAAGTGATATTTCTCACTTAGAGGAAGTATCAATCCTTTTTTTATTTTTAATTTTTTATTTATTAATTTGTTTTTGTTACAGATGTTTCTCATTTTCCCCCATTGACACCCTCCTTCCTTCCCCCCCACCCTACCCCCAGCTTTGTTGTCTATGTTCATTGGTCGTGCATACATGCATGTAAATTCTGTGGTTTATCTCTTCCCCCCCAAACCCCTCTCCTCTAAGGCTTGTCCTCTATGTCTCTGGGTTAATTTTGTTCAGCAGTTTGTTTAGTTCATTATATTCCACAAATAAGTGAGATCATGTGATATTTGTCTTTCTCTGCTTGGCTTGTTTTGCTTAGCATAATACTCTCCAGTTCCTTCCATGCCATCTCAAAGGATAAGAGATCTTTCTTTCTTACAGCTGCATAGTATTCCATTATGTACATGTACCGCAGCTTTTTAATCCACTCATCTACTGATGGACACTTGGATTGTTTCCAGATCTTAGCTATTGTAAATAGTGCTGCTATGAACATAGGGGTACATATATTATTTCTGATTGGTGTTTCAGGTTTCTTGGGGTATATTCCTAGAATAGGATCACTGGGTCAAATGTCAGTTCAATTTTTAATATTTTGAGGTAACACCATAGTGTTTTCCACAGTGACTGCATCAGTCTGCATTCCTATCAGCAGTGTACTAGAACCCCCTTTTCTCCACACACTCGCCAACACTTGTTGTTTGATGATTTGTTGATGGCGGCCATTCTGACAGGTGTGAGGTGATACCTCATAGTTGTTTTAAGGAAGTATCACTCTTTCATCGAGGTTGGTTTAATAGAATTATAATATTTACATTGTCTTAGTCTGGAGAAATATAAAACAACAAGTAAAATAGGGACTCCTGGGTTCATAATGAACCTACCTTTTTCACTGTTGGTTTCAGGGGAATGAAGCCAGATACCATCTTCACATCAACAATTGCCATGTTGGAGGCAGGACGGTTTCCGGTGTAACTGCAGATCCAGAGAAGGAAGAAAGGAATTGGGGCTTTTTTTGGTTTTGCCATTAAATAGTCTTTTTTTCTATTTCCACAGTAAGAACTCAATAGCCCTGAAAGGTACATGAGAATCTTCCAAGTGTCCTACCTAAGTGGTTCAGAAAACTGGTTCTGCTGTAGATTATTCAGGGAGCCTGTAAAGCCACAGAGATCAGCCTATTCTAGACCTGAAGAACCAGAATTTCACATGTGGACTCTGAGGATGTGTGATTTGAGAAAGCTTTTCAAGTGATACACAGCTGAGCTTGTATCAGGTATTTGTTTCATACACTTTATCTTAACTTTTTTCTTGAATTAATATCTCCAACCAGGTTATAATATTCTTGGGTAGAGATATATTTTCTCTTTGTCCATTGAAGCATTTTATTTGTACAGATGTACTACATTCATAGAAAAAGGAATCCCAGGATTTTTCCTCCTGTGTGTTTTGTTTTTTTTTTTATCCTCACCCGAGGATATTTTTTCTATTTTTTGTTCAGATAGAGTGTGGGAGGGAGAGAGAGAGAGAGAAACATTGACGCGAAAGGGACACGTCGAGTGGTTGCCACCCACACGACCCAACCAGGGCCAGGGACAAACTGCAACCGAGGCACATGCCCTTAGCGGGAACCGAATCCGGGTCTCTCAGGACCGCAGGCCGATGCTCTAACCGCTGAGCCAAACCGGCCAGGGCCTCCTATGTGTTTTTGTATTGCTTCTTCATGGTTCATGATGCCCGCTGAGGTTGTCAGTACAATGAAATCAAAATGATGGGATGGAAACAGGTTTTTCTGCCATTTTTCTAGATCTTTTTCTAGAATCGGGCATTTGCCTCTCTTTTCGGCATTGTTAATATTCTCGAGAGCATCAGCCAGGACATTTCATACGCACTACTATGATGGCATGAAAGGATGGCAGAAAGAATTACAGAACAGCCTGGTGTGGCTCAGTGGTTGAGTGTCGACCTGTGCACCAAGAGGTTGCCAGTTCTATTCCTGGTCAGGACACATGCCCAGGTTGTGGGCCTGATCCCCTGTTAGGGGCATGCAAGAGGCATCCAATCGATGTTCTCTCTCATTGATGTTTCTGTCCCTCTCTCCCTCTCCCTTCCTCTTTCTCCAAAAATAAATTTAAAAAAAATATAAAAAGGAACTATAGATACAGTTTTTTATAAGCCTTGTAACTATTTAAATATTGTTTTATATATGTGTATTTTTCCCCAAATTGATAATTTTTAGATATAATCTGAGATTTAATTATTGCCAGCAGAAATTTTAGAGAGTCACAACTTTCTTCTACACATGTTTTTCAAGTAGTCCTCATCTTGCTTTCTCTCCCTTGCTGCTTGAAGATCGGCTACCATCCTGAAGGACAAAGTAACTATCTGGACCAGGAAGTTCAAGACCAACAGACTACTTCAGTGGAAAGAAATGGTCACTGTTGTTCTTTACCTTGGGAAGAGAGCAATAACCAAGACAGAAATTTGGGAAAAACTAGTCAAAATCTATGTCATTTTTGTGTTTGGATTTAGAACCCATTTTGGTGGTGGCAAGACAGCTGACTTTGGCATGATTTATGATTCCGTGGATTATAGAAATAAAAATAAACCCAAACATAGACTTGCAAGACATGGCCTGAATGAGAAGGCCTCAAGACAGCAGAGAAAGGAACACAAGAACAGAATGAAGACAATCAGGAGACTGCAAAGACCAGTGTTGGCGTCGGCAAAAAAGTAAGCTGGAGATGGGACAATAGAAGGAGTAAAGATTCTTCAGTGACTTTATCTGTGGTGATTGTGCAGATTTTTCTTGAGACGATTAATAAATTAGGAACTTTAAAAAGATAAAAAAAAATCCTCATCTCTGTTCTGGATAGGGCAAGAATATAGGATTTCATTATAGTAGAATAAAATTAGGATGAATTATTACATTATAATGAAATAAGAAATTCAGGTCAGAGGCAAGGTATAATGTTCTACCTTTATTATTGAGGGAAATTAATAACCTTTAAATAATGAGGTGTGACAGTAATAGATTATGGAGGTAGAGGACGTACAATGTAAACCTCATCACTGAGAAATTCTGTATCAACAATAGAACACACTACTTTTTCCATAAATGTAGGGCCAACATTTGTCGTTCCAGTGCTCTGCTTAATGGGGGGGTTCTAATAAGATTAGTTGTTATACCCAGAATTAAGTGATTCAGTCAGAAGGTCTTACCTGACATTCAGTGAGATCTGGAAGCTTCTGTCGGCTTTGGGTCCATCACAAGTTTGGGGCAGAGTCTGTACCTCCAATGCAAATGGGGACTCTTCTTTTTCTGGGAGAACATTGTATTTCAAGGATGTCTGTGGAGCATCAAAGACAAAAATCTGTGTTTCTCCTTTTCTCAATATTTTTCCCTACTTGATTTGTTCCATCATTTCCTGAATCGGGACTTTTCAGGGAGAATGGTTTCTGTGTACCCTCTGTCCTCATCTCCCCAAAACTCTCACCTGGAGGTAAACACACCCTTCTCCTGTTGCTGACATGCTATATTCTCCAGGCACCTGTGGCAATGACATCTGCTGCAATAGCAAGCGGTTGTTGTTGTCTACTCGTAAATTCTTGGAAAAAGTCCCTGAAGATTTGATGGTCACCTGTACAGCCTTCCCAGTCCTGGTGAAAGTAGCTGCTCCATATTTGGACAAAGCATGGAGAGCCACCACTGTGTCCTGAGAGAGACAAGTGAGAGAACCACTTAGGTATGATGACCCTTCGAGGACTCAGAGGCCCATGTTAGCTGCCGCAAAAGGGGCTTTGATATCCTTTTTGCTATTTTCCTCACTACTTAAACATTGAAGTTCTGATTTCAATATCAGTTATAATTCTTAAATAAATGACAACACCATAACATAGCTTTCTTGGATTATATGCTCTAAAGTTTACTTTATTTCTTAGAAAATTGCTCCTTTTCTTTCTATAAATATATGTGGGATATGAAATGTAGAAAATATATATGAATGAGAATCATTTATTGGCATTAGCTATTTGCCTAAGATATATATTCCTGCGGGTGAATAATGTTTTTTATTCATCAGACAAAGAGTTTTTGGGGTTAAAAATATTATAAAGCTTAATCATACCTGTGCATTTTTCTTTTGGATGATTCCTAAGATTTAATTAACTTCCACATTAAAAATCTAGATTATATATATAATATAATTTGCTTTCCACTTTCAGTGTACATATTGAGAAAAAGAATGAAAACAAGTTCATTTATCACTCTCAAAGCATTTGAAAACTTGACAACTGTGGTTATATCTGCCACCACCCAACCAAGGTTCAATTGGGCTCTTGCCCCCAAATTAAATTCTACTCTGCTACTGAGGTCAGTGCCCCAAAAGAGCACAATTGCAGCCATGGTCAAGGTCATGTTCTAGTTTCTTCAAAGGAAATAATAATTATCTCCTTGAGTTATTGACATTTTTATTTGGCTCTTTGTTTTTTACTGGAAGTTTGAATTCCCCTATTTATATTCATATTCTCAATTCTTATCAACACTGAAACTGGATGATATCCTTTAAATAATATATTTACAAGAAGTAAATGTTAATAATTCTAACAAAATTATTCGGTTTTCTTCATTCATATCAAGTACAATGAGAAAGGATGGAATGGCATTTTGTCATGGGTACATAGGCTAACAAGTAAATTATTTAAAGTTAAAACTTTCTGCTATGTACACAATGATAAATTTTTTAGACATAAAATTAATATAGTTAGGCTCAGGAGGTTGGATGAATAAAGATAGTTCTTTATGCTCCTGATGAATAAATGGATAGAAGCATAAAATGTGTCTACTTTTAAAACAACCAGTTAAAGGAGATCTAAGAATGGAGAGATTTTCAAGGAGAGAATATTGAGTAGTAATCCTGGGAATAGTTTGAAAGGGATTCTTAGAACTTCCAAAAGGTTGATAGAGTTTTAATTTTTAATGTGTTTTTATTGATTTTTTTTTTTAGAGAGAGGAAGAAACATCGATGTGAGAGAGAAACACTGATGGGTTGCCTTCTGCACACCCCCACTGGGGATCAAGCTCGAAACCCGGGCACAGACCCTGACCAGGAATCTAACTGGGAGGATGCTCAATCCACTGAGCCACACCGGCTGGGCTGATAGAGTTTTAAATTCATTCCACTATGGCTGTTGATAATGGTGTTTTAGGGAAGGCAGAGTTGTTATTGGAAAGAAACACTGTGATGATAACACAGGGATGGGTACCAGAATTCTAGGCATTTTCTTTTTAGCTCTCGTCGACTTTCATTTTCTTTTATTTCTCACCATCCCTGAATTCAAATAGTATTTTCCTCATTTCAAGTTACTCTCATCTTTATGTGTTATTCTTGAATATGTTTATATCTTGATACTTGATACTTGAGAGTGAAGTAAAAGGTTCTGAGAAACTACAAACCTGGGTGGAGGAGAAGCCCCCTTGGGAATTCTGTTGTTTTGTGATCCACTTGACAATGTGTGATGCAGAAGTCAGCTCCTCTGCGGTTGGGGCAGGCTGGCCCACGAGGTGAGCGAGGAGCACATAGGATGTCATCTCCACCTCAGCAGAGGGAGCCTGGGGTTGGTAAAAATGCTCCCTTGGTGCCCTGGGTTTCTCGGGTCGTGTCCAGTGAACAGAATTATCTGGGGGTGAGAAAAATAGATCTGTAAGTGACTATGCATTCACATTTACTTTAAGGTGAAAGTATCCAGGGCAGGGCGGAAGCGAGAATTGCATTCCTATAATAATCTCTTCAACCTTATCTAGATGATTTTTCTTCTGTGTAAATCTGAACAAGGTTTGTTTCAGCCTGGTTAAGGAAGAAAATGTTGCTGGAGTCGGAAGCCCATAGCCATCTCAGTTTTCAAATGGTTGCTATAGTTGTGTTGGTGGGAGAACAAAATAGCAGAGCAAATTCTCTCACCAGTCATAATTTCCTATTTCTGATATTTTGCAGACCTTATCTGGGGTTTGTTAAATTTTCCATAAGGCCTGCTCTTAGAGGTTCCTTGTGAGGATCACAGATCACTTGAGATAATGGAATTTGTATTCATTAGAGCAGAAAAAAAAAATACAATAATCTTCAAAGTACTGAAGACTGACATGGGTGTAAAATAGGGGAAACTGATGTACTTAGCTGCGGGAAGTGAACTGCTCTCTGAAGAGCAATTTGGCAATGTCCAGCAAAGGGGAAGATGTGTTTAGCCTACTATTCAGCAATTACACTTCTCGAAGAATGACTTTGAGAAATTCACACACACGCACAAGGAAACATATATGCATTCATTGCAGCATGGTTTGTTATAGCAACAAATAAGAAAGAAGATCCATGAGGAGAGACTCTCCATATAAATCATGAGCTTTTTATATATTGCAATATGTTATGCAGCAGTGAAAGTTAGTGAACTAGAATTACAGCCACCCATATAGGGGACTTCTCTTAGTATAACATTGAACTTAAGAAAAACAAAGGCAAACAAACACACAAGAAAACAAGATACAGAAATACTCAAAAGTATGATGCTGCTTATCTAAAGATAAAGAACCATAAAAATTTTGACTATTATTTAGGGACACATATGCAGTAAAACTATAAAAAAATCCACAGAAATTATAATGACGAGTTCAGGATAATGATTCCCTTTGGGAGTGGGAATGATGTGCAGGAAATTTTTCCTAGAATGGTAATATGTTATTTCTTAATCTGGAAGGGAGGTATAAAAGTGTTTGCTAATTATTCTTCATGCCTTTTTGCATGTCTGAAATATTTCCCAATATAATTTTTAAAAATATTTCTTTTTTAAATGTTTTTATTTAATTATTATTATTTTTTTTAGAAAGAGAGACAGGGAGGGAGAGAGGGATAGAAACAGCAATGTGAGAGAGAAACATCGACTGGCTGCCTCCTGCATGCCCCTTGCCAGGGATTGAGCCTGAAACCCCAGGCATGTGCCCTGACCGGGAATTGAACCAGGACTTCTCAGTGCATGGGATGACTCTCAATCTACTGAGCCACACAGACCGGGCTCCAGTACAATTTTAAAAATAAACAATTAACAGCACAGTCAAGGGAAAAAAGTAGAATATGTTTTATTGGGTATCTTTTCATTTGCTTTTTGTTCTCTGTTTCTTTGATACCCCCCCCCCCCATATAGACCATTCTTTACAAGGAAATATTGTGTGAATATAAAAAAATTTGTCAACATTATCAGTTTTGTGAAATGAGCATAAAATATAAGAATTTATTCATGGGGTTACTTCTTTCAATTCTTTTTTATGTTTAAGATGATATGATACACCAGGTAAGGGTTGAATATATATATTTTTAATCCTCACCCGAGGACATTTTTCCTTTTTTTTTTTTCAGATAGAGTGGGAAGGAGAGAGGGAGAAAGAGGAACAGCTTTGTGAAAGGGACACATCGAGTGGTTGCCATCCACACGACCCAACCAGGGCCGGGGACAAACTGCAACCGAGGTACATGCCCTTAGTGGGAACTGAACCCGGGTCTCTCTGGACCACAGTCCAAGTCTCCGACCGCTGAGCCAAACTGGCCAGGGAAGGGTTGGATATATATTAAGAACTGATATCTTAATATCAGTAGCTCATACTTTTATAGTACTTACTATATGTACTCAACCAGTGCTTTATATGTATTAACTCATTTAATTCTGACAACAGCCCTATGAGGTAAATGCTGTTATTAGCCCCATTTTACTGATGAAGAAACTGAAACACAGGCAAGTTGAGTGACTTGCTCAAGGTCATATATGTAATAAATTTTGGAGCTGGTCTCCAGAGGCCAAGCTACACACTACTATGGTAGCCTCTTAGCTTTTGATGTGTGAATTGATTAAGAAATTCGAGATTTTTATAATATTATAGACAAAAGAAGAAAGAAGAAAGGGATCACAGGAGGTAGGCACAGGGGATTTTTGCAACTTAGTAGTACTTGACACAGAGAATGTGGAATGGGAGAAAGATTTCAGGTGTGCTCTCACCTTCCTTCACTGCTTCCTCATTAAGTGACTTGAGGACTTCATTCTTTTTGTCCTGGTTGCCTGACAGGGCAAAAGCATAGGCCAGCAGTGCCTTGGTGTAGACATGGCTTCCATGGCGTCCTTCCTTGATTGACTTCCAGGCTGACTCCAGGCAGAACAGGGCATTACGGACAACAGGGTGCTATGAAGGGAGAACAAGAAGGGAACTGAGCTCGGTGAATAGGGAGGCTAGCATTCCCAGGTAAATATACAGATTGTAGCACAGGAGATAAAAAGGGATTTCAAATGCATTTGTCCACTATCCTCATTCTTATGGATAGAGAGAATAGTATTTTTCATCTGTTATTGTCACATAAGGCAGGAACATAGGCCATATATTTAGAATTCATTGCATGTGTGTTGGGGAGGGGAGCTCTTAGGGAATAAATAGTTTAGGAGTGTCACTGGGAAAATATAAGTCTTTCTTGATGGATTGACCAAATTTTCTACTGAGCTGGGAAGCATTAGCATTGCATAGAAGGAAAGTTGACAGTGGCTTTTAGTAGGGTGATATTTCAGACAGCAAGTCAGTAGTTTCATTGCATCCAGAACTAAGCTTCAGCAGGGGAAGGAAGTGGTTCCTACAGTGACGGGAAGAGGAATCTCCAGAAGGGCAATGGTGATATAGGCAGAGAGGGTCTCTTCATCTTCTACTCCACCCTGTAAATATGAGTGAAAGAGAAAGATCTGAGTACTTGAACTTCTGAGAAGGCTCTTAGTCAGCTTTGTGTTCTGGTGTCATGGAATTTATCCTTTCTCATATTCATCCCAATGGGGCAAAATACCACAATCAACCTAAATACTATTCCCTCTTTCTTGGTGCTATCCAGGTTTCATTTTCTTCTGATACCTTCCCTAAGGAATTCCTACATTATTACCACCTCTCCTCATCCTTGTACACATCATAATGGACAAATCAAAGCTCTGAAATACTTCACCTTAATGGCATTGTTAAGCAGCGACCCAGAACTTCTGAAACAGCCATTGTCTTTCTGCTTTGCAGAGAGCCAGGTGAGGGCTTGGGTAATGTGTGCTTCATCAACGAAGATGTAAGTTCGAGCCTGGGCAAAAGTCTTCAGTACAAAGGCAGTGAGCCTGAGGCGGGAGGAAGTGATGATGATATTTATGTGGTTACATAAATGAAACAACAGGCTTAATAGGACATTTCTTGCATTGGCATAAGTCATCTCACAGGAATTCTTGTGTACAGAGAGGTCCCATCTCCTTTGGACTGCTAGGTCTAATTAGTTTTCTGGGTCTAATAGTTCCTTGCTGACTTACATACTCTTTGCTACAAAAGAGTCTAAGTACTTCTAATGTTACTTAAAAAAAAACAACAAAACTTATTTGAGTAAGGTTTTAAATCTTTCTTCTGCTTAGCGATTTCCTTCTGTAGAGGGCAGAATCTTCTTATACACAACTCTTACATGTAATCACAACCTCTAGTATTACTTTGCCTTAGAGATTTTATAACTGTTTCATGTCACTGGTGCTTCTCATTTCATTCCTCCTGTTGGTGAATTTATTCTCAGTCAAATTGAGTATGATCTAAAAAAACAATATAATCTGAAGTGAACATGGTTTATCTAGAAGTTGTATGATATGTTCATTGGCCATATCATTAAAATGCTCATGGTTATGAAAGTTATTTCAGAAAAAATGAACTATTTTAAAAAGAAGACCTTGCTGTATTATTAACAGGATAAATTTGGGGGTCAAGTGTAGCATACATATACTTGAATCTCAACTTTTCTGCTTGTTACTTTGCTAATCTTGGTGTATTTATCTAGCAGAACCAACTATAGGTTTAATAATCCATATCTGAGGGTTACTGTGAATATAAATACAATAACATATGTAAATGTGCTGGCACAAAAATTGGAACTCAAAAAACTCTTTTTCTTACCAGGTATTACCTATGCTCCTGCCATGGCTTTCCCCAAATGTGCTATAGGAGCCATCGCTGTGTTTGTAGTTCAGCTGTTTCTGATAGCCTGGAATGGAAGATTAGTGAAACAGCATGAAGAATTGTACAGGCCTGAGAAATGCAAAAATGCCTTGGCCTCTCTTGTGATACTTCCTAACTTTTGCTGCCATATATGTTAGAAGGTTTTGAATCCTAAACATTTTATTGGAGGTTGGACACTGGATAGTTACCAAGAAATTAACTGTCATTGTATTCTTATCATAAGAATTATCATAGTATGATAAGCTAATGTATCATACTATTGATAAGTAATTCAAACCAATTGGGAAAGCCAATCTTTTGTTAAAGTAACATTGTGAAGTTTTCACTCACTCATTCAATCACTCACCAGTATTAAGGTAACCAATGGCCTTCGACTTGACCTCTGGAGTCAGTTGCTGTGTTTCATTTAGATAATTCAGAACATAGATGTTAGGAGCGAAGAGGACCATATTCTGTTCTCCACAGCCATAAGGCATTTTGAGGAGATTTTGTGTGTTTCTCATGGCAGAGGCTAATATGTCTCCTAGGGAATGGGAGAGATGGGAAGTCATAAAGCTTATAAATGATAACTAATCAGAATCATAAAGAATAAATAAATTATTAGCTGAGGTAAAGAAATGAGGATTTTTAGGACAGAAGTATGATTGGTATCAATAAACAAGCCTGAAAAAAGGAGAGAAGAAAGAAGTTTAAATTATACTTGTTATTTTGATAAAGTATTTATGGAAAAAAAGGTAGTAGAAACTGTCAATATAATAGAATAATCTACTAGGGCTGGAGACTTACCCAAAACTGAGAAGGAGGCTCGGGCAGATTCTTCTACCACATTTGGCGGCAGCTTGAGAGATAATTGATCAGGCACCTCAGCACCTAGGGAAAAAAACAAATCAGCCATAATGAAAATTATTTCTGTTCTATGTCTTCTTGAAGAGCTCTGAGACCAAGAAGTAGAACTAGGCCTTACAACTAAACTTCTGAAAAGTGACTTTCTTTCAATATTCCAGTTTTTTATATCTTAAATGTGTATGAACAGGACTCAGATTTTCCAACCATTTTTTCTCCATATGTATAGAGTTACATACCAAGGGAAGTCTACACATTTACAAGTGGCCCTGATGTTATCCTATGACTGACACAAGATGGTTATCACAAAATGATATATTTAATGTCCATCCCCAACCTCCTCACACAATAGTTGTATGAGAAAAAAAACCCTTATGAAAAATAAGCAAAATAAAAATATCCAAAAATTCCTGAATTCTGCAATAATACTCTGTCTTAACTGCCATCAAATCTCACCAGATATGAAGATAGTATTTTTATGGAAACCCTAGACATAGGGGTGGGGCTGAAGATGAACACAATTTGACTCATTGAAAATAAATAAAATAATTGCTGCTGATAAACATGCATTTACTGCCATTTTAATGTTGGTGAATTATGTGAAGATGAAAAAAAGAGAAATGTTATATCTCTTTCTCATAAAATTAATAAAACATTTGTCAAAGGGAACAAAGTTTTAGTTATGCAAGATGAATAAGTTCTAGAGATCTACCATACAACACAGTGCCTATAATTAGCAATATTGTATTGTATACTTAAATATTTGCTAATAGAATATATCTTATATTAAATATTCTTATCATACAAAATAACAGAGAGTGGGAGGAAACTTTTGGAAATGATGGTTAGGTTTATAGTATAGGTTGTGGTATATACTTAAATCTCCAAACTCATCAAGTTATATACATTAATTATCTGTTTTTAAATTATATAGATTATATAATTAAATTTAAATCCAATCATGTGATTAAATATATAATATAATTATGTATGAAATACATATACTTATATTAATTATGTATATGTATTATTTGTATATAAAAAAACTATTACTTTCTTTTAAAAAAAAGAAAAAGAAAACTTCTGTAAGGATGCCATAAGTAACATAGAAAGACAAATTACCAACTGAAAGAAAATATTGGTAACTTATTCAATAGATAAAGATTCAGTGTCACTCAGCTGAATCAGAAAAAGATCAGTCTCCTCCAGCATGAATAGTCAAGGATATAAAAGCAATTCACAAATATGTACAAATAAGCTCATCTTTACTTGTGATTAGAGAAATATAAGTTAAAACAACAATATACTGTTTCATCCAAATTTTTGGTTAAAAATTAAAAACTTTTATGGTAATAGACGATGATGATCATCGTGGGAAATGTAAACTGGTGGAAATATAAAGATGAATTTAGGTAATAAAGAGAGAATTTTTAGTTCTATTAAAAATAAGAATACATTTATTGCCTTTTAATCAGGAATTTCACACTTTGATATCTACTTTAGGTACATTTGTGTATGTACACAAGGGGTCTGCATTTATGTATGTACAGAGTGGGGCAAAAATGGGTTTACAGTTATGACTATGAGAAATAATTTATTCTTTGACCAAAAAAATCAAGCAGAACTATAATATATTGATAGTATGAAATTAAAGAGAACTAAAAGGAATTACCTACATTTGTAATTTAACACAGATAAATTTTGAAGACAAGTTGCTGAGTAAAAAATACAAGTTATAGAATGAAAGTTATGCCATATATGTAAATTATATAGACAAACACATTCATCTACACATTTATTTCTAAACATACACGGATGATCATTAAAATTTTGGAAAAGGCTGTAAGGGGTGACACTAGCCTTTAATATGAAGTTCTATTTTGTTTTGTTAAATAGAATGCATTTTTGTATTACATAGGTAATTAAAGTTAATTCTTTCTTTTTTTATCCTCACCTGAGGACATTTTTTTCCCCATTTATCTTCAGATAGAGCAGGATGGAGAAAGGGAGGGAGCGCGAGAGAGAAACATTGATGTGAGAGAGACACATCTAGTGGCTGCCACCCGCATGACCCTATCCGGGGCCAGGGTCAAACTGCAACTGAGGTATGTGTCCTTAGCGGGAACCAAATCCTGGACTCTCTGGTCTGCGGGCCAATGTTCCAACCGCTGAGCCAAACCAGCCAGGGCTAAAGTTAATTCTAATAAAACTACCTGATGATTAGCTCTAGATAGATGTATGAGATACATCAAAATGAAGAACTCAGAAATGGAGGAGAAACCATGATAAAAGGATTTGGAGCTAACACTAAATTCACTTAAATGTAGAAATAAGGCTAAACAATTGGGAAATTATGTTTTTAGAATACATTTTATATATTTAAAGCCTTGATGATATAAAATCACACTTGACAGAAATTAGTAGGTAGAAAAAGGCAAGAAACATGTATGTGATGTTGATTTGACATTAATTTGAGGTAAGAACACATTGTGTGGATAAATTTCTTAGTGTACTAAATTTCTATAAATGTTTTTGTTTAGAAAATTCTCCACCAAGATGAAGTTATATCTTTTACTGTAAACATCTTCAGTCCCTACCAAAGGACTGACAGAGCATTATGAACAGGATTGGCATCAAACAAATACTGATGTGACAGTAGTGCTGATGGTTATGATAACTTCTTCAGGAAAGAGCATGGTCCCAATTACCAAATGCCATTGGTTCCACAAACCTCATGGGTGGGGTGGCCTGAAATTAGGTACCCATATATTGTATTACTAAATATTCAAGGAAATAGCCCCTTGGCAATATTCCGAAATTACCCACTTTCTACCTATAATCACATCATACATTGGTCAGGAAGACATTTTGGTGGTTGCATTGCTGCTGTAAGAGAAAAAGACTCAGAATGCATGAGCTCTGGTATTTTCCTGATCAATTTACTTGACCTCTCTAAGACCAATTTTCTCATTTGTCAAATGGGTTGATGGTTATTTGAGTCTTACTTACCTGATAGTGTATGTGTAGAAATAATATATAAAATTATCTGAACTTCAAATGTTATACAAAGTTTAGTGAAGGTTATTCTAATTATTAAGGTTGATTCTTACCTGATGGGCAAAGCATGGAGTTGAATGTTACTTCCTTCTCTAGTCCTTCAGGCTTTAGGTGAAAAGAAAGGAAAGTTAGACGTGAGAATGGACCGACTTTCAGGGCACTTGTATTGATAGGGTAAGCACAGATTTCTTGATAGTAAAGAGAGGAACTGGAATTGTTTTTTTCTAATGTATTATATAAATAAATTCTATAAGTAAAAGCAATATGAAGGAGGAGGGTTGATAGATAAGAAAGTGAGAGGAAAATGTGAAAATAAATTAAGAGACAGAGATGGAAAGACAGAAATAGAGACTGATACAGAGATCTATATCTATAAAATAATATTATGAAATAACTCATGACCATATCTCATAACTATATATCTCATGACCAGGACCTTCTTACCTAAAAGTAATAATCTCAACTGGATTCACCATCATTTTTATTGACTCATGGTGACCTATCAAATGGGCAGGTTTACTCACTTCAACCAAAAGGGACTTGATGATTGTGTCTTTCTTTCCATATTGAGGGACCACAGCCACCTCAGTCCCGCAAAGTTCTTGAGACTCCAGTGCCTCAGCACTCACGGTGAAATCCACAGCCCCTGAAAAAAGGGCCAGTAGAGATGAGCACTATTTCCTCTTTCCTTCATACCTTCAAACTCCAAGATTTATAAATGTCTGTACCCTACTTTTTTTTTTGTTTTGTATTATAAAAACACAGGTGCAGGAAGAGAAACAGCAAAAATGAAAGAATAATGATACTGAACATCCAAGGTGGATATGGAGGTGAGGGAAGTAAAAATTCTAGACATCCTAGAATAAAAGACAGAGAAAATAATCCTACCATCTGGGGTGTGGGATGTCTTTGCCTGAGGGAAGTAAAACTATATATAAGAATCCCACTGATATACAATCTTTGAGTAGGATTTGAGTTGTTTTAGGAATCCGTCCCTCACCTAATGACTTTGGGGTTACTGCCCAGGACACGGTTTGTCGTCCATTTCCACAGATGCAGTGAGAGTCTTGTTCCTTCTCCCCTGGGACAGCTAGGAATGCAGAAGAGGCTTCCAGCTGTACACGAACCTGAAACCACATATGAGACAGAGATGAGATCAGAGGAAGAAGAGGACCATAGGGAGAATGGCTTGAAATATAACATTTTTGGAGGAGTGGTTAGATTTTAGGTTGCTTAATATTGAAGACCCTATAGGTAGATTTGAACTCTAAATAATAGTATTTTGGTATAATCTGTTCTTTCATGTGGTGGGATCAGAGGTGAGGAAAAGTCATGATGGCAAGTTGCCTGTGGAAGCTCTACTTCTTTGGCCTGGAATGTTGACCATTCTCTCCGCTTTTCCAGAAGAGTACACAAGATTTGTAAACAGTTATGGTTTCAGTGGAGGTAAGACACTCAGATAATTTTTAATTAGTGATGCATGAAAAGTTACATATATGGGAATATAGAGGTTGAAAACTTGAGGAATCTAAAACATGTAAATGGAGCCTAATGATTTAGATGTCCATATCAGAAATCTTCATATGACACAAATTTCTTAACCTTAGAAGATTGTGATAAGAACCTGAAACTTGTGACAACATGGATGGACCTTGAGAATATTATGCTAAGCAAAGTAAGTCATTCACAAAAAGCTAAGAACCATATGATTTCACTCATATGTGGGATATAAAATTGAAAATCATAGACACAAACAACAGTATGGCAGTTATAAGAGGGAAGGGGATAGGAGATAGCACAGGGTAAAAGGGGCCACGACAATGCAATCTATAAATCATGTATTATAGAAATGTATCCTTGAAACCTATATTATTAAACAGTGTCACCCTAATAAATTTAATTTAAAAAGTCTTAGAAAGGAAAAAGTCAGAAACTTGTTTTAAATTACAATCTGGTATTTGGAGCTATTAATAACTATTGTTATGAATATGCATATGAAGATCTGATAGTATTCTTCCTCTGGTGAGCACATTTTACACACAGGAGTTTGTTGGTATTCTTAGGAATGCAATTTTAATTTAATTAACCTTGTGTTCAATTTAGGAGAGTGAGGTCCTTACCCGGATGCATTTGGGAAGGTAGTTTAGTACAGTAGCCTTGAGTGTGAATGCCTCTCCACGTATCACAGAGTAGGGCATTGTGAGCTCTACAAAGAAGGGCTGGAAGGCTTGTAGAGAGGCAGGAAGAGAGAGACCAAGTCCAGTGTCATTGGACAGGCAGAGGGCCCCTGCCTTCCACTCAGTGATGGTATCAGGGACTGTTACTTTTACTTCAGCAACACCTGATGAGCTGGGAAGGACAGCAATGTGAAGAACAGAAGGTAAGCAGTTAAATAAATCCTTTCTAGAAAGAGAACCCCTATAAATGATTCTATGGTCATGATTTGGATGCACTCAGAAGAAATACCAATAATGAAGGGTATAAATGAGACATAAAATAGGACCATATATCTCCTTTGCTTCCAACAGTGTTTTCAATTCTAGTCGATATCAGAATCTCGTATAGACATATAGTTGTAGCATAATCTAATATAGATAATATAGTTATAAACAAAAGATGTAATTCAAGACTGTTCTTAATTTTTTTCTCTAAAAAATATTTTTCCACTTAGTGTAGGTTTATAATATGTATAGTTGGCGTGACTGATTCTATTCTTAATTCAAGAATGCTGAGCAAAAAAAGGGTTTCTTATAGTTGTTAATCTATACAGTTCTTGGTTATATTTAGTCATTATGCCTGTTTTCTGGAAATCTTTGAATTAAATTCATGCATAATATTTCAGCGCTGATGCAATTATAGTAGAGAGATATCATAGCAGAAGTAGTTAGGTTCAACTTCTAAAAACAGCAATGTGTCTAACTGAAATATTGAAAAATTAGCTAAAAATGGAAAATTATGAGGAATCTCTACTGTTGCATCTTCTATATAAAGGCAGTTACTTACTCTACTACCACCAAGTCCCAGATCCATGTCTCAGGGAAGTACTTTCGCACCGTCTCCGTGAAATGCTCTAATACAGCGTGTGCTTCATAATGATAGTTGCTTTCCATTACATCTGCGGTGGGTGAGGAAGGAGAGAGAAACAATAAATGTAAAGATCAATCTTATAAGAGATTATAATAAGTACTACAATAGAAATAAACAAGGTGATGAAATAGGAGCCGGGAGAGAACACTTGGGTGTTAAGGAAAAGCTTCTTTATGGAGGTAATTTTTTAGCTAAATTCTTAAGTATTAAAATAAGCTAAGAGTGTGGTGGGTGAAGAAAACCACAAACAGAGAACAGAGATGTACAGGCAGAAGGAGCCTTGGATTGTCCGTGGGGCAGAAAGGAGGAGTGCTGTGTGGCTACTGTACTTTGTGCAAGTGAAGATTTCTATGACCTGGGGGAGGGAGGGGTAGAGGAGCCCAAGTTTCCATCTGGTATATTTCTCTGTGGGAGAAAAAAAATCATCTGGTATATTTCTCTGTGGGAGAAAAAAAAATCATAGCCATCATGACAATGGCTTTGTGAAACAGTTTATAAGAATGTAAGGATAAAGGATTAAAAAAAAGAAAAGCTCTTTATTCCCTTATGTGTTACAAGATTGGAGTTAGGATCTCTTATCCTATTTATCTTCTTCTGTTAATGGTGTGCTGGTAAATATTTAACAATCAACTCTGGAATAATTAAAATTAAAATTATATATAGCCAACTTATCCTCACTGAATTTTTTCCTTGATTTCTGAAAAACTCTTTGGTTTGTACTCAACCTGTATTCAACTATGATTTGACAATCTCAGACTATATGCAAATTCTCGATTACTCTCTGACTCATCAAAGAAGTAGCCCATATTGAAAAATGACTGTGATTTCAACATGAATATTGGCTGATGATTTTGCGATGTTAAGGAACTTCTTCACTTGATTGGTGAGAATGTAGTTCTGACTTGTGAATGTTTCTGTTTCTGTTTACATTGATCCTATGCCTGAAAACTTTCTCTTCCTTTTTCAGCTCCACATATCTTTATTTAGAAGATACAGATTCTTTATGACTGGCTTTCCCGATTTCTCAATCAGATTTAATTTCTTCTTTTATTCCACACATCTTCCTTGTCTTTTAACACTTTTCACAATCTGCCTTGTGTTCTCTCCAGCTTTGCATATATGGGGGCTTGAAACAATCAGAATGTTGGGGTTTGTATTTCTATGTGATCTTGAGCAAGAATCTTAATATATCTGAATCACAAGATTTTTGGTAATTTTATCACATATTATCTTTAAAAAAACTTCTTTTATTTGGTTCAGTATATTAGGCAATTAATTATAATTATTATATTTTTACCTGAATAACTTAATAGTCTTGGAGCACTGTTCAGATAATAGCCATCAAAGTGTAAACATATTTTGGGTTTATAAATCTTTGAGTTGGTGACTACCCTTAAGCCCATATCCTGTAAAGAAAATGATCACCTAATCAGTACATAAATGTTATAAAAATATATATAGGCACATACTTTTAAAATTGAAATGAACAATCTAATTAGTTTAATATTAAACTTTTAATGTTCACATCTGTATACTTATAGAGGTCATTTCATTCTTTTTAAACAACACTTTCAACAGTAATTATTTTATATATTTTATATTTATAACAAGGAAATAAACTTCAGTAAAAAGAAGGAAACTTAATTAATAGTCCAAAAAGTTGCAGTACTGGCTCTTTGTTATTAGATCTGTTCTTCTTAGTGACTTGGAGAAGTCACTTGAGCTCTATATGTCCCATTACCCTCAGCTATAATATGAAGGCATTAAAATAATTGATTTTGAAACATGTATAATATTTTTTAAACCTTAAGAACTGACTATGTACAATATAAGGACTTTACCTTTAGGAAGCTATACATATCTTTTTCATTTGTATTTGATACTGGGGAATAGACGATTCCATTGACATAGACCTTGTGGCTGACACAGTCTCCATTGTCTTCCCTCTGCTGATTCAAACTCCTAGGGAAATCAGTGAGGTCCTTTACTGGTAGCAGGTTATAAACCTGTACAAATGCAAAGGATAAAATGGTAAACTGATTCATGGTTTATTTTTCTTAAGTGGAAGGACAAAATAAAAGAATAATCACCATTAGTCTTTGAGTATCCCCATTGCTTAGATATTTTATAGAGAAGATGATTTTGAAAATGTTTAACAATTTTAGGACAAGGTCAAAACATTCCCATCTAAGCAGGGATCATAATACTTTGTTACATAGTTCAGAAGCAAATTTTAGACTCCATACTGGAATGAAATATAACTTTATTAAGAGAAATTGAAGTCTGCTATATGTGAGACATTGTACAAAGCTTTAAGATGATAGAATGAAATGATAGTTTTGTCTCTACCTGGTGGTGAGCAACTTGCTCAGTGTATAACAAAGTTCACAGATACATGTTCTAAGCAGGTACATGAATAAGTATATATCCTCTATATAGAACAGGGTAGTATTTTCTTATGTTCATGGGAACAAAATGCTCCAGATCTTTACAAATACATACAACTTGAAGTATAAAATACTGAAAATGATGCTTTCAAATTCATTTGAAAAGGAAGAGTAAGGCAGACATAAAAATGCTGATAGAGGTATTGTATTATTTGCATAGGAATTTAAAATTGATTGATAAGAATAGATTAGCAAAGTGAGTAATGTAATGAAATTAGACACTTTCTCAAAGGAGCTCCCTCTTACTATTCTGTATCTTCCCTCTCTGCTTATTTTTCTCCAAAGCATGCTATATAATTATTGTCTGTCTTATCTATGAAAATGTGAATTCCATGCAAACACAGAATTTTATCTTTCCAGTAATTCACTACTAGATGCCTAGAACACCAGCACACAGTAGGCACTGGATATGTGTTGAATGAATAGTTTATGCTACTTGGAGCAAAGTGTTTCATTAGTAAAACACTATCAAGGATTGAGAAGAACTCGTGTTTAACCCAGGTCTGCTACTAAATACTTGAAAGCTTCTGCTTTATTATTAGCACGTTAATAGAATTTTCTGCCTTTTCTACCCACCAGGGTTGTTATAATAATAATAAAATACATTGAGAATTATAAAATTTTGTTATACAAACACAAAACATTAATGTTATTTTCCCACATATCCCCTTAATCTCACTATTGAAATGTACTTGATACTTTCGTTGGATGCATTCTGATATTTTCAATTAAATTTCACTAGAAGGATCAAAAAAATAATCCGTCTTGTAAGTTTTTCTTTTAAAGAAGTAAAAATATAAATGTCTCTTTGTAAAATTTTGTTGGTGAAAACATCAATAAGAGGTTATTCCAATTAGCTTCATATTGAACACTTTAAGATATGAGCAAGTGACTATTAGAACACATTGTTAAGTGGTTTCTTATTGTTCCACTCCAGCGCACACTTTTTCTATTTTTTGTTAACCCAATATTTTAAAAGAATCCAGTTATTAATGTAATTTATTATATAGTAATTCATTTTTCCCGATTTTTACTCTTCAGAGACGTTACAACATTTTCCTTCAGAAAATTGTGTTTCTCTCAGGATATTCAGTATTTCAACTGATACAATTCTTATGAAAACAGAAATTTGATATTTCCTTTAACCCGTGCAGTCTTGGCGCAAGTAAATATGTAATTTCGTAAGGCTTTTCAAAATGTTAAAAATAGCTTGAAAACTCCATTATTGGTTTCATAGAGCTCTAGGATTTCAGGGACTTGGGATGCAGCATGCTTTTATCTATAGCTATATGTATGTATGCAATCCATCTATCTAGCTCCATATGTAATCCCTTTCTTGCCAAAAAAGTGCACATCAAAAAGCTCAAAGATAAATATAAGTGTAATAGATCCTATCCTACCAAAAAGATATCTCTTCTTGCTTGGAGACCCTTACCTGGCCCTCCCTGACCTGAGGCTGAGGGCACTCACCGAGGATGGGGAGAGCTCTGTCTCAGGCTTCATGAGCAGCACACTTTGGTCCACTGCACGGAGGGCACAGAGGGACTGAGGAGAGGCTGTGACTCGCAGGTGGGTCTGTGAGGCTGGAAGACCTTGTGCTGAGCTAAAGCTCAAACCCACCTGAGAAATTGGGGAGAAAGATCAGAAAAAAGAAATTTTCTTACTTAACCATACATTCAGCAGCATTTTGTAAGTGCTATTCACATTTCATGCATAATCCCTTTGACTTCTTGGTGGTTGGCACTGTCTGAGACCTGAGGCTTTTTGTCCCCTACACTTCACTTTGATATCCAAGAATCAGTTGAGCCATTATAATGACATCTAATTATTTTTACAACTTATTAAATTTGTGATGTCATAGTTACCTTTGATGCACAGTGAAGTGTTCATTAACTGCAAGGTAGAGTGCAAATAATTCTAGGTGCTCTTGTATTTTTCTTTTGTTTCTTTAGTAGTCTTAAAAATACATTTTCTAACATTTCATCATATAAGAAAAGAACAAGGTTCTCTGAATCGTATCATATGGTAAGAGATAATGCATGAGAATTTTGCACTAAGAATGGCTTCTTAGTGTGACTCTGCCATTACCTTGTTGAAATCCTCTGGGAGTTCATTTAACCCCTTTGGTCCCAATGCTCACATGTAGAAAATAGTAATGATAGTAACTTCTAGTTTAATGTTAAACATTTATGGCATGAAGCACCCACCTTGTTGGCCAGACAATTTTCAACATCATATTTTGCAGAATCCCCCACCACTTCCCCATCAGGTAAAATGGCATAGATGAGCACTCGAGCGACTGGAGCAATATCTGATTCCACAGGGAATGACACAGGAAAATGGCCCTTCACTGGAGCACAGAGACAATGAGGAAATGATTATGAGTTAGATATCTCCCCAGGGCTAAAATGAATGTTTTCTATTGCACAAAGCCATGTTAGGAGCCTGGTCTGGTTAACTGTTTCTATTAGTAGGTATAATAGATATAATAAACAGTGTGTCAGAAATGGATGATTACCCATAAGAACCCTGTATCTCTAAGAACTCTAGCTTTAGGGGGAAAATGTCTTATTAAAGCACCCTTTCCTCTCTTAAATTATGATTTCTCACCAATTTTAAGTTTTTGCTCATGTATATACAGTTCTGATGCTGTGTAAGGGTATGGAGACATTCAGGTTGCCACTTCATCTAGATGGACCTCACATTAGAGGAGGGAAATAGAACCTGAAGTTGTGAGTTATAACATTAAGAGTTTTAACACAATTATTTTATTTATCCTTATGTCCTCTTCAATCCTTTATGAACAAAATATTTCTATTCTTCTTAAGAGGAACACTGTGCTTCTCTGGAAGTTATTTTTTAATGTCTACGTAGATTCTTAAGAGGTTGTATTAAACTTCTGTAAGTCTTCTGTGTTAGTATGAAAAAGCAACAGAAGAGCAGTTTACTGATAGTTTTCTAGCAAGTTTCTCTGATAAGAGAAACCATCAGATTTATATTGTTCCGTATTTGTTCATGGGGAGAGCAGAGTCCATTTCAATGGCTGAAGTGCCCAATTAAGCCCTTCATAAATGATAACTATCTTCGAAAAGAAAAAATGATACATAAATATAAGTCACTCAGCACAAAACCTAGTATATAGAAAGCACTCCAACATTTTACTTTCTCTCCACTGATTAAAACAATTTTGAAATATTGTTTTGTGAAGATGGTATATGAATGTTTATGATTTGAAGGTTTGGAATAAGAATGGATTATAAAACCACTATATCTACATCTAGAATAATCTGAACAGAATACACTGAAGGAAAAGAAATATTGGATGAAGAAAGGAAACACTGCTTTTTCTTTCAACTTCTTTATTGTGGTTAGATAGAAATTGCCTATCTTTATTTGAAACGAATCCTGAGATTTCTTCAGTGTACGGTTGAATGTGTCAGAGTGAGGGGGGAATATGGAATTATGAAAACACTTACTGTCTCCCTGCTCCACAGACAGTACATGAACCCCAGTTCGGACAATGCCTCCCTTTGCCATTACCTGTGGTGGGGGGTGGAAAATAAAAGGCAATGAAAAAGATCTTACCTCAAATCTTTCCCTTTATGTGATATGCTTGTCTTATTTCATCCCTGTTGGCAACAATTAGCCCTAAAAGAAGTCAGACTTTCAAAAGAGAAACAGACTTTCTAAAGAGCTTCATAAATCTTTGCTCCACAGAGAGTGTCTGTCTACAGATGAATCAATGCAGTGGCCTTACTTCTCACCATGTAATAGAACATGAGCTCCTTCAGCTCCTGCAGAACCTGTCCATTCAGAACATAATGGGCTTGGACTGTTTGAGTTTGGCCGCAGGACAGTTCATGAGGTATGGTCTCAAGCTGGACAAAGCTTTTGCTTGGAGAGAATACAAGATTAGCAATGTGAGAAACAGCTTCGTGATTTTCTGACAGCCATTCGTGGCTATAACAGTAGGTATCATCCTTGTGTTTGACCTAATGAATTAGAAAAACAGTATTATTTCACAGGTTATATCTCATAGAGAATCAGTGTTCTCACAAAACTGTATTAGTTGACTGTTCTACTTAAACTAGTACCTAGAAATCTTTTGCTCCATAGTAAAAAGTGAGAGAGAAGCCGGCGATCTTCTTTGTTTATCTGTATTGCAGGCATGATTTGTGCCTTTGCACCAAAGAGGCTCCTTGGGTTGGTGTTTATCTTTTTGAAGAGCATAAGGTCGTTCAACATTTCTTTAACCGCTTTACTATGCAACCAGAGCCACTGGAGCTATGAAACCTCTTTGAGGAGACTAAATAATCTCCAGAGACTGAATAAAGTCAATGACTCATTTGTGATGAGTTCCAAACAGGTATTATGAGTGAAATGTAATATTGCAACTGTAGGGGTCTGAGAATATTTTCCATATATACCATTGGTTCAATAGTTGACTTGCTGAACTAGCTAAAGTCCACCTCTCCTGAGCTGTTTTAGGCTGATTCTTTTTAGTGCTTCCTGAGATTCTGGACTCTTAAGCTTCATAGGCATTATTTGGGTTGTATTTCAATTTTTCTCCAGGTAGAAGTTGTTTGTTAGTTTTTTTTCAGGCTCCCCCCACCCTTATCTTTACCTCCCAGTGTCATGAATGGAAGCTTTTGGCAGCAAACCACTTTGTTCATGTCTCAATGTATGTTCCAGTGATAAGGTGTAAATGCTTATCAAAAAGAGCTAGCATTTAAAAAATATTTTCATTTTTTCAGTGTTAGCACACTGCCTAGCACATAGAAGGTATTCAAGATACTTCTTAATAAAATGAATGAGTAAACATTCAATTTTAAGTTATTAGAGGTAAAGGCTTTTATGCCAACTATTTAAAGGTTAATTAATAAAATATATTATTTATCCCTTTTTATGTTTATATAAAAATTCTAAGAGGCAGGGGTTTTTCATCACTATTATTATGTGATATCTATTGTGAAGCCATATATCTATAAATGTATATCCAAATCTCCATTGATGAATAGAGGACTGTATGCTATAAAAAGCAAATGATATGGGTATGGACAGAATCTGGAGAAAATTAGAATAGCAGGACAAAAATAAAGTAAGAACGATAACTTATAAAGTTGAAATGCTAATGATGTTTGAATGGGTTTTATAGTAATAATATTTAGCAGTTAAAGGGGGCTTACTAGGTGCTTTAACATGTAATATCTCTAATCCTCACAACAATTCTTAGAGTTAGGTACTAATATTGCACCCATTTTACAGATAAGAAAATGAAGTATAGAGGTTTATTTGCTATTAAAAAGAGTTGAGCCAAGATTTTAATCTCATTTATTTGATTATAGAAACTACACCTTTAAAAAAAATTGTGGTAAGAAACACACAACATAAATTACCATTTTAAGTGTATAGTTTGGTGTGTTAAGTAGTGTGCAACAAATCTTCAGAATTTTTTCATCTTGCAAAACTAAAACTCTACATCCATTAAACAATAATTCCCCATTCTCCTTCTTTCCAGCCCCAGGCAGCTACCATTCAACTTTCCATTTCTATAACGTTGACTACTTTAGATACCTCATATAAGTAGAATCATACAGTATTTTTTTTTTTCTTTTTTGTGACTGGGTATTTCACTTAGCATAACGTCAACAAAGTTCATCCACATTACGGCATGTGGCAGGATTTCCTTCCTATTTAAGGCTGAATACAATCACATTATATGTGTATACCACATTTTGTTTATCTATTCATCTGTTCATAGATATTTGGGTTGCTTTTACTTTGTTGCTATTGTGAATAAGGCTAGTAGGTGCATGGGTGTGAAAATATGCCTTTGAGACACTGTTTTCAATTCTTTTGGCTACATTTACAGAAGTGAGATTACTGGACCATATGGTAGTTCTCTTTTTTGAAGAACTGCCATACTATTTTTCAGAGCAGTTATACCATTTTATATTCCCAGCAATAGTACACAAGAAGAACCCATACTTTTTTTTAGAACCCACAGTTTTAACTACAAAACTACACTGCCTCTTTTTAATAAATGTTTTCACAGTTGATCTTAAATTGGTTTCTAGTTTCTAATGTTTTTCTTTCTGTAGCAATAAACACAACTTGGAAATCTAATTACTTTTAGGTTGTTACCATTTTCCAAGCTATTTCATATTATTGGTAACTTCTTTCCAAACTTACCTCGACTCCGAGGGAGGAATCCTTAATGTTGTTAGTGTTGATGGTGAACTGCACTAGGCCATGCTCATCAGTGGTAGCATTGGAGGAATAGTTAGCAGCGTATGCTCTGATGAAGATAAGTTTATTTGGCATGGGGTTACCTTTCCCATCCACTAGGCGTACCTGAAGATTAAAAGCTGTGGATCAGTTATATTGATAATCCCCAATAGGCACCAAGCATATTCATTTTATCAAGAATATTTGTTGAGTGCATCCATAAGTTGAACATGGTTCCAAGCATTGGAGATATACCAGTGAACACAACAAAGTTACTTCCGCCAAAGAGCTTACAATCTAGTAAGAGACAGGTGTTAAATAAATGCATAAATAATATACACTTATTTAGTAGTAGTCAGTCCTAAGGAGAAAAATAAAGCAGTGTTATATGGGACCAAGTGGGTACTTGAAATATTGGGGGGAACACTCTGTAAAGTACATGACTGTCTAGCCACTATGCTGTACATCTGAAACTAATATAGAATAATATTCAATGTATACTGTAATTGAAAAAATTAAAAATTACAGCAGTGTAGGAGGATGTGAAAATGGAGACGGAGAGAATAGAAGCTACACAGATGATCCCCCAGGACCAAAGGGGAATTACAACTAAAATAAAGACAAATCCTCAGAAAAATGCAACATAAAAGCAGAAGGACAGGGCCATATAACCAGGGGCACTGGTAGGATCAGCAGAGGCATGAGAGGGTGGTGGGCTGGGAGCCCACGGACTGCAGCAGTCTTAGCTGTGAGCAGTGCCCTTGGGGAATAAAGACCAAGCTCGTTCCACATCACAGAGAGCCAGGACTGAGTGCTAAAATAGCCACAGCCACTCACCTGGGGGCTAGGCAGAGGGAGGGAAAACTAGGCTGGAACTCTGTGGGGACACCCGGGATTCTGAGTTTTTGCTGAGTTGTGGACACAAAGGACGGTGGCCAATGTGCTCCTTCGCAGAGCTGTGCAGAAAAGCAAGCAGCCTTCCCCTTTGGAGATTCAGCCTTTCCCAGGTGAGGCAAAGAAATGCAAATTGAGGCTCATTAATAACCAGCATCTATCCCACCCTCTGGAAATCCTCTTATGCAGAACACCAGGGCTACATTCCAAGGCACTGAGTAACTGAGACTACTAGCCACCAGCAAAAAGCTAGAGTATAACTGAACCTTTCTTGGGCTTGCAAATCTACCCAGGAAAGTAAGACTTGACAGTGGTTTTTAACATGGGCCTACCCAGGCCCATCCAAACCCAGGAAGGAGCCACAAATAGCAGAACACCAATACCCAAAGGGAAAATTTGGCAGGCTCCAAAACCCACTGAATTAGCCAAAATGGTAAAACAAAGAAACAAATCCCAAATGAAAGAACAAGAGAACTCTATCCAAGATGAGATAAATGAAATGCAGTTAAGCAAATTATCAGAGGTTATAAAGAGTTCAGAGCCATGATCTTGAGGAAGCTCAATAGGATGAGTGAGGACATCAGCACCATGAGTAAAGATATAAAAACACTGAAAACCAACCAAGTGGAAATGAAGAATGACATAGCAGAAATAAAGAACACATTGGAAGGACTAACCAGCAGAGTAGAGGAAGCTGAGGACTGAATCAGTGAATTAGAAGACAGGGTAGAAAAAAATCAACCAATCAAAAAACCAAAAGGAAAAAAAACAGTTAAAAAAACAGAAAGACAGCCTAAGAGAACTGTGGGACAACTGGAAACGTAATAACATTCGCCCAAAGAGGAAGAAAATGGGCAAGGGTTAGAGAATATATTTGAAGAAATAGTGACAGAAAACTTACCTAACTTGGTGAAGAAAGAAGGCATTCAAGTTCAAGAAGCACAGAGAGCCCCAAGTAAGAAGAACCCAAACAGGCCCACACCAAGACACATAGTAATTAAAATGCCAAATTTAAAGACAAAGAGAGAATCTTAAAGACAGCAAGAGATAAGCAACAGGTTACCTACAAAGGAAACCCCATAAGGCTCTCAGCTGACTGTTCAACAGAAACATTACAGGCAAAAAGGGAGTGGCATGAAGTAATCAAGGTCATGAAAAACAGGATCTGAATCCAAGACTACTCTATCCAGCAAAGCTATCATTCAAAATAGAAGGTCAAATAAAGAGCTTCCCAGACAAAAAAAAAAAAAAAAAAAAAAAAAAGCTATGGGAATATATTAACACCAAACCAGCACTGCAAGATATGCTAAAAGGACTGCTGTGACTAGTAGAAGAAATAGGAAGAAAAATAGAACCACACTAAACAAAAATGGCAATAACTAAGTATATATCAATTATCACCTTATATGTGAATGGTCTGAATGCTCTGATAAAAAGACACAGAGTAGCTGACTGGATAAGAAAGCATGACTCACACATATGTTGTTTACAAGAAACCCACCTCATAACAAAAGACTCACATAGGTTGAAAGTGAAGGGATGAAAAACAATCTTTCAAGCAAATGGAAAGGACAAAAAGCTGGGGTAGCAATACTCATACCTGATAAAGTAGATTTCAAAATGAAAGACAACTAGAGACAAAGAAGGTCACTACATAATATTGAAAGGATCTATCCAACAGAAAGATATAACCTTGGTAAACATATATGCACCCAATACATATTAAAAATCTTCTGGAGGATTTTAAAAGAGAAATCAACAGCAATACAATCATAGTGGGGGACTTCAACACCCTGATGACATCACTGGATAGATCATCTAGACAAAAAATTAACAAGGAAACACAGACTCTAAATGAAACACTAGATCAAATGGATTTAATAGATATCTACAGAGAATTACACTCCAAAACTACAGCATTCACATTCTTCTCAAGTGCACATGAGACATTCTCAAAGATAGACCACATATTAGGACACAAACCAAATCTCTACAAGTTCAAGAAGATTGAAGTCATATCAAGCATCTTCTCAGAAAACAATGGCATGAAACTAGAAATCAATTGCAACAAGAACATGCAAAGACATTTGAAAACATGGAGGCTAAATAGCATGTTATTGAACAATGAATGGGTTACCATGGAGATCAAGGAAGAAATTAAAAACTTCCTGGAAACCAGTGAAAATGAACATACAACAACACAAAATCTATGGGATGGAGTGAAAGCAGTTCTGAGAGGGAAGTTCATAGCACTACAGGCCTACCTCAAGAAACAAGAAAAATTTCTAATGGACTATCTAACCTCACAACTTAAAGAATTAGAAAGCAAACAAAAAGAAAACCCTAGAGCAAGTAGAAGGAAGGAAATAGTAAAGATCAGAGCAGAAATTAATGACATGGAGACCAAAAAACAATTCAAAGGATCAATGAAACAAAGAGCTGGTTCTTTGTAAAGATAAACAAGATTGATGGACCTGTAGCCAGACTCACCAAGAAACAAAGAGAGAGAACCCAAATACACAAAATCAGAAATGAAAGAGGAGAATAATAACTGAAACCACAGAAATACAAAAGACCGTTAACAAATATTATGAATAATTATACAGCAACAAAAGTGAAATGGATAAATTTCTAGAAAACATAGTCTCTTAAAATTGAACCAGGAAGAGATAGAAAACTTGAACAAACCAATAACAACAAGGAAATTGAAGATGTAATCAAGACTCTCCCAGCTAAGAAAAGCCAAGGCCCAGATGGCTTGACGGGGAAATTTCACTGAACATTCAAAGAAGAACTATTTCTCCTCAAACTATTTCAAAAAATTCAAGAAGAAGGAACTCTTTCAAGCTCATTTTATGAGGCCAGCATAATTCTAATTCCAAAACCAGAAAAAGACACCACAAAGAAAGAAAACTATAGGCCAATATCCCTGATGAACATAGATGCCAAAATCCTGAACAATATACTAGCAAATTGAATCCAGCAATACATCAAAAAAATTACTCACCATGACCAAGTGGATTCATCCCAGGGATGCAAGGCTGGTACAATATTAGCAAATCAATAAACGTGATACACAACGTAAACAAAATGAAAATAAAAATTATATGGGATTAGAGGGATCATAGCTTGACATAATAAAGGCCATATATGAAAGACCTACAGCCAACATTATACTCAATGGGCAAAAACTAAAAGCATTTCCCTTAAGAACAGGAACAATACAAGGATGCCCACTTTTACCACTCCTATTTAACATAGTACTGGAAGTTTAGCCACAGCAATCAGACAGAAAGAAAAAATAAAAAGGATCCAAATTGGACAGGAGGAAGTGAAACTGTCATTATTCGCAGATGACATGATACTATACTTAGAAAACCCCAAGGACTCCATCAAAAATCTACTAGAATTAATAAATAAATTTGGCAAAGTAGCAGAATACAAAATTAACATCAAGAAATCAATGGCATTTTTATACAGCAATGATGAACTCACAGATAGAGAAACTAAAAAAAAAAAAAAAAAATCTCATTTACCATCACAGCAAAAAATTAAGATACCTAGGAATAAACTTAACCAAAGAAATAAAGAACCTATTTGCAGAAAACTACAGGACATTGAAAAAAGAAATAGAGGAAGATATAAAAAAGTGGAAGCACATACCTTGTACATGGATTGGAAGAATTAACATCATTAAAATGTCCATACTACCCAAAGCAATCTATAGATTCAACGCAATCCCCATCAAAATACCAACGACATACTTCACAGAACTAGAACAAATACTTCAAAAGTTCATATGGAACCAAAAAAGACCCCGAATAGCCACAGCTATCTTGAAAAACAAGAACAAAGTTGGAGAGATCACATTATCAGATTTCAGGTTATACTACAAAGCCACTGTAATCAGAACAGCCTGGTACTGGCACAAGAACAGGCAGATCGATCAATGGAATATAATTGAGAACCCAGAAATAGACCCAAGACAATATGCTCAATTAATATTTGACAAAGGTGGCAAGAGCATACAGTGGAGTAAAGACAGCCTCTTTAATAAATGGTGTTGGGAAAATTGGACAGCTACATGCAAAAAAATGAAACTTGACCATTAACTTACACCCTACACAAGAATAAACTCAAAATAGATAAAAGAGTTAAATGTGACTCATGAATCCATAAAAATCCTAGAAGAAAATGTAGGCAACAAAATTTCAGACATCATACGCAGCAGAATTTTTACTGATACATCACCTAAGGCAACAGAAACAAAGGAGAAAATGAATACATGGGACTACATCAAACTCAAAAGCTTCTGCACAGCAAAAAACAAAAAACAAAAAACAAAAGAAACTACCAAAATGGAAAGGTAACCCACCGTATGGGAGAGCATAATTGCCAATGATACATCAGATAAGGGGTAAATTTTCAATATATAGAGAGTGCTCATACATTTCAACAAAAGGAGGACAAAGAACCCAATTAAAAAATGGGCAGAGGAGCCCTGGCCAGTTTGGCTCAGCGGTTAGAGCACCGGCCTGGGGTCTGGAGAGACCCGGGTTCAGTTCCCGCTAAGGGCACATACTTCGGTTGCAGTTTGTCCCCGGCCCTGGTTGGTCGTGTGGGTGGCAGCCACTCGATGTGTCCCTTTCACATCAATGTTTCTCTCTCTCTTTCCTTTCCTCTTTCTCCCTCCCACTCTATCTGTACAAAAAATGGAAAAATATCCTCGAGTGAGGATTAAAAAAAAAAAAAAAATGGGCAGAGGAACTAAATAGACAACTCTCCAAACAGGACATACAAATGGCTAAGAGACATATGAAGAAATACTCAACATCACTAATCATCAGAGATGCAAATTAAAACAACAATGAGGTATCACCTCACACCTGTGATAATGGCCGCCATCAACAAATCATCAAAGAAGTGTTGGCGAGGGTGTGGAGAAAAGGGGACTCCAGTACACTGCTGGTGGGAATGCAGACTGATGCAGGCACTATGGAAAACACGATGGTGTTACCTCAAAAAATTAAAAATTGAACTGCCATTTGACCCAGTGATTCCACTTCTAGGAATATACCCTAAGAAGCCTGAAACACCAATCAGAAAGAATATATGTACCCCCATGTTTGTAGCAGCACTATTTATAATAGCTAAGATCTGGAAACAGCCCAAATGTCCATCAGTGGACAAATGGATAAAAAAGCGGTGGTACATATGCACAATGGAACACTATGCAGCTGTAAGAAAGATCTCTTATCCTTTGAGACAACATGGAGGGACCTGGAGAGTATTATCCTAAGCAAAACAAGCCAAGAAGAGGAAGACAAATATCACATGGTGCCAATTATTTGTGGAATATAATGAACATAAGCGTCTGAGGAAAGGGTTATCCCAGAGCCATGGAAGTGGGTTACAGACTGACAATCCCCAGAAGAGAGGGTTGGGGGCCAGAGATAAACCGCAGAATTTATATGCATGTATGCATGAACAATGGACATGGACAACAAAGCTGGGGACAGGGCGGGGAGGGTGGGGGAGGGATGTATCAGTGGGGGAAAGAGAAGTAACATCTGTAACAAAAATAAATAAATTAATTAAATAAAAATAAATAAATAAATAAATAAAGCAGAGTAAAAGGATAGAGAGTGATGGAGATCATAACAGAGGTGACCTGAGTAATGTATTCTGTGGATACTTTGAAAATGCTGTATATCATGTATTACTCTTGCAGAGTCACAGAGCACAAGAAATATATAGTGATGAAAATTTTAACCCACTACAAATTTAATTGAACCCTTCTTATTGTGGGGCAGACAATTAACTTTTTATGAATTACCGTTCTGAAGTATAAGAATAATAAGTGTACAAGTGAGCAATTACTACATTGTCTGCTCTGCTTCTCTAGTTGTTTTATGCGTGATATCTGTTTCTCAACCTAGATTTTTAATCTTTTGGAAAATAGGCAGATTTTATGAGGCACTTGCCATGTGAAAAATGTAAAATTGAGAAGCACACAGTATTAATAAAGGCTTAAAGTCACATTACTGATAATATTAAACTCAGCAGATGATTAGTCTAGTTCTGACTATGAAGATGGTGATTCTTTTTCAGTATAAATTACTTATTATAGTAGAAAGAGGCACTGCAGCCAACTTGGATCAGTATTTCTTACTGAACTGTCAGCTGCATGTACAAAGACAAGGATAAAATTCAGATTTTTCTCTCCTGATGAGTCTTAAGACCTATTTAGCAGGAATAAAATATCAAAAATGTATAATATGCCACAGAGAAATTTAAAAATCTACTTTCATTTTAGAATGTGACCAAAGTTTCTGAATATGTTTGCTATCATAACATAATCAAAACATTATAAAATTTATTCCACCACTCCTTTGATGAGTCTAGTCCCTCTCTTTTGTACTCTCCACAACTGAAATCTTAGAACATTTCTGTTAAGAACATGATACACAATAATTACACATGAGATACATAAAACTGTTATCTCAGACTTCTGGAGTCAGAAAGGTCCATTTGCACATCTGTTTGTAATAGAAAAATAACAATGTAAAATTTTTTTGTAGATCTGTGAGAAAATTTATATTTTTAAAAGCTGAGAACCTTAAATAGCATTTTTTACCCTTGTGTGTATTGTTTAAAAAAATACTTGCTGTTATAGACAAGGTATTGTAAATATAATATCCACTAAAGAAATACTAGGTGCAGTAGAGTCTTTTATGTTTCAAAATAAAAATTAAAACCATCTACCCACTCATTTTCATATAAAGTTACCGTTGGAAGGTTAATGTATGTGGCCACCATGAATTTTGAGATTCTTGTGAGGAAATACCATAAAAATATGAGACTGCGTGGGAAACTGTGGAAAGGACTTTGAGTGACATCACACAATGCTGTTCCAAAAGTGAAAAAACTTTCTAATTTTGATAGTGTTTAAAATGATTTTATAGATTTCATATACAGATTTACAGAGGAGCAGGTTTATTTTTATGTGGTTTTATACCTTTGCTCATATTAATCAACAGGTAACAATAATCAAGTTTTAGCAAATAATATAGTTTTAGCAAAATATGTTGTGTATATTAGGTGACGAGGCACAGTCTGACTTGTGAACTGAAAAATACTCCACCTGGCCAAAGAAGGGGATCCCTTGTCTGAAGTTTGGGTCCACTTTGACAAATGAGAGTTTGGTTATGGTGGTTGTTATTTCACTGGACCCTTTTCCAGTTAACTCCACCTCTGAAAAAGGAAGAAGAAAAAGGTAAGTTATTTTTTGGAAGGATGATCTCCCTGAACTTCTTCTACTACTTCCCCCCTTTGAATTCATACTTTGGCAAATGAAAGAAATCAATGTCTATGGTCTTTTCTCCCACACCCATATGGTGTACAAACCTGTTCCTTCTTCTTTGATCTTGGCCTCCACTTCAAGTTCCATTTTGTACCCACCTCTCTTCATCTGGAAGACCTTAGTTTTTACTTGCTGAGAGAAGCAACCTTGGCTGTTTAGCTAAGAAGGGATAAAATAAAATACAAGAACGTAATACTAGACAAATTAGTGGCCAGTTAATTTGGTGAGATTTGTATGTGTTGGGGCAACATAATTTAGGTATTTCCTATAAGAATACCATACCTCTAGGGACTGGTTATCATTAAATTTCACAACAGTATCTGGTTTATAATCGACAGGTGTATTCCCTAGTATTTAAGATTTCCTAGAGTGAATGAGAGAAATGCCCTAAAAATGTTGGGGTAATCTTACTGTATCAGGCAGATAATCCTTCACCAAAGTCTGGCTCCCCCTCCATAGTGTACAGCTATGGCTGAAAAGTGGCCGCCCATCTGGGGACTGTGTTTCCTACCTAACTGGCATCTAAGTGGGGCCATACGACAAATTCTTGCTCATAGAAAGAGTAGAACTGATACTCTTCCCAGACAAGGTGGTTAAGAGGTATATGTTTTTTTCTCCTTCCTTCATACAAGTGGATGCCAAAAATGTCTTTGGGTGCTGGGTATTGCAGTTGACTCAGCTTCCATTATTCTGTGTACTTGCTGCACCAAGAACACCCACAATGGACAAATACATGAACCAAGTAATTCCTATTGTGCTAATTCATTTATTTAAAAAATATTATGGCTAGCATATAATTTTCTTATAGAGTGTTCTCTTCCTGAGTTAGCACCACATTGTAATTCACTATTTATTAACAATGCCTTAGTGTTAGTCCCTAGAAGAGTTTTCTACCTACCTTATGACTGAATTTCTCACAGATAGCTTGTGACTCCCCACCAAAGCAGTTAGAAGGATTGTTATACTTTCTGCACATGCTTATAGTCACATGTCCTGGGACAGGCTTCCCATATGTGTACCTGTCATAAGAATATTGCCAAATGAATCAAAGCAGATATTGAAAAGCCACATTTTTCTACCTATTAATATTTCTTCTTTTAGCTACAGTATATGTGCTTCTCTTCACTTCCCTCGAATCTGTACTCCCACCTGCAGGGCTCAAACAGTATTGAGTGTGGTTAAATAATGACTCTTCTCTTCTAGAATTCTACAGCGCAATGTGCTGAAACTTACTATAGTCCTCTTTTTTTCTTTTTTTGTCAATCCTCACCTGAGAATATCTTTCCATTGATTATTTTTAGAGAGAGTGTAAAGGAGAGAGGGGGGAGGGAGGGGAAGAAAGAAAGAGAGAGAGAGAGAGAGAGAGAGAGAGAGAAACATCAATGTGAGAGAGACACACTGATTGGCTGCCTCCTGAATGACCCCGAGAGGGGTGAGGATTGAACCTGCAACCCAGGCATGGGTTGGTGCCCTTGACCAAGAATCAAACCCATGACCCTTTAGTTCTCTGGCCTACACTCTAACCGCTGAGCCAAACTGGCCAGGGCTATAATCTTCTTTTATCATGTCTTTTATTTTCCTAAATTTTAATTTTCAGTTTAATCTTTAAACTATCTTTTGTATTACCAAAGCTATAACTGTTCTTACAAGAAAAACCAACATCAACAAACAAAACAAAGAGAACGAACACCCTCAATTCTACCTAGGAATATAAACTATTAATATGAAGGTGTCTCTCCTGTCATTCTCTCTCCTTGCATAGCCATCCCTATTTATATAGAATTTTACTTGCTTTTGAAAAATAAGAATGGGATTGTGCCCTAAACATATTATTGATAATTGCTGTATTTTCCAGAGTATTTGTTTCCTTCCCTATTTAAGATTTTTTCTATGTCTCTATTTGCAAGAGTATTGGCTCAGTAGTTTTGTGGGACCAGGAACTTGGTGGCTGTTACTCTGAGACTGTGCTAGGGCAGGACCCAGTTGAATAGTGGGTGCATCACATAAGCAGCCTTTGGCAGGACTGGTTACATCACTGCTCTTTCTGCCAGTACTAGTCTGGGCTACTGCGCATGGGAACATAAGCTCCTGGAAACATGAATTTTCAAAGTTGGAAAGGATCATACAGAGAGAGGTCTGTAACATGCCTTAGGTAGACTGATTTGTTAGATGAGATTTCGGTATTATGTTGATATTGTGTGTATCTTAACAAATTCTGGACCTAAGTTATTTTTCTATCATGTATACAAGGTCAGGTACATAATATGTTAGTGACTCAATTTCCTCTAAAATCTGGTGAAAGGAAAGACACCACTCTTCAACACTACCCTGTGCGTGTGCGTGTGCGTGCGCACATGTAACTTTGTTATTTCCAGAATCCTGGTAGCATAGTCTCTCTAGGAACAGTTGCCTGTATCACGATAGTTATAATAATGCTGGCAAGGACATGAAAGAAAATAAGAGGAAAAAATAAGAAGGCCACAGAAGAGGAAAGTTCTAGAGATGGTGCTATTTCAGGTATTTCAAGTATCTGTGCTGCCACTACTCCTAGAAACACTACCAAAATATCCCAAATGCTGAGTCTTTTAAAAATAATTTCCCTCCAAAGGTGAAAAAACATATAAACTCACAGGCCACACACTGACACATTCATCACTTCGTCCAAGATAGTGATCATCCTTGGTACTGTCACTTGCACCTCAAACTTGGGAAGCACTGTTGATTGGAGGTAAAGGAAGCTTGTGATTAGTTTTCAATTTGGGGGCATTATCAGTCTCAGGTTGTCTGTAACAATTCCCTAATACTATTTTAGGCCCCTGAAGAGGCAGCTTTCTTCTCCTATATATCTACTTTGCTCTTAAATGGAGACTGGTTGAAGGACTGTGACAGATCATTGTAACCTTAATGAATTAGGGAGGATGCCACTAAAACAAGGATATTTCATACTTTTTGGAGAAGTAAAAATTGCTATAAAAGTAACTAAATTATATGAAGTTCCATTCACAAATTATTAATTGTCTTAATTGGAGTGAGGCATATAATGGTTCTACTCCAACCCCAGTATCACCCAGGAGAAGGGAAAGGAAGCCAAATAAGCTCAAATTCTAGGCTCTAAACGTTTAAATGTGAAGACAAGTATTCCAGGATTTTCCACAGTCCATACCAAATTCCTCCACGGTGAAGGGATGCTCTGTTATTTCACCAGATTCCTTCTGTACCATCACCTTGTAGGAGCCCTGAATGGGCTCTGAGGAGAGGGGAAAGCTCAATTGCTTGAGGCCACTCTCTAACTTGAGTGTCTGCCATTGTGCAATGCGATTTCCTTTGGGGTCCTATAGATACATGAATTGAAACTTATAAAAGAGCTTAGAGCGTTAGAGACAATACAGGAAATCGATACAAATTTCTATGCTATCCACAAAGGGAAAATAGGATGGTCATAAGGAGTGGGGAGGGGAGATGAGTTAGAACCATCTGTGTTATTATATGAGTTTGAAGGCTTCTCCTTTAATAACAAATTTCTGGGATATTGTGAGAATCTCTCAAATGAGGGCATTTCCCTTAAATTTATTACTTTACATGTAATTATGGAATGTTTCATCTCACTTACCCTGATGAATACCAGTGGAATCTGAAAGACAAATGAGAAAGAAAGGAGTTTAGAATTGTTCACAAATATTCTCACTTCTAATTTATATGCAAGACAGTTTTACATAGAATAACTTTATCTGTAGTAAAACACAAAAAATTACAGTTTAAGTTTTACAGACTTTCAACTAATAATTTAAAACAATTAATAAATAATGATAAAAATGTAATAGGCCATCAGCAACAAATACACATGTGCACTGCCATTCCTTAGGAATGAGATTTACTAACATTACTTAAACGTGTACGGCATCTCAGTGAAGAACACTCTTTTGCTTCGAAATGTTATATGTTAAGAAATGAATACTAATAGAACTATAACTAACCATGTTCAGACCCTAATATTAAGATGGGTCACAGAATTCTTAGTTCTAAGAATAAGGAAGAATGGGAATAGCTCCTCTGCTATCAATGTTTATTCATTATTAAAAAGTAATATTTATTGTCTACCATGTGCTGTATGTCATTCTAGGTTCTGGGAATATAATAATGCATGAAAAAACAATGTATCTGCTTTCATGGAGCTTACTTTTTAATAAGAAATGAATACATAAAAAATATACATATATGTATATATGTGCATACAGTTGATATATATATTTGATATCTATATATATTTGAGATTAATTGAAAACTTTCTAAGTTTAAGTGGGTGACAAACTGCCTAAGTGTCAGTACCAAGACAGAAAGACTTAACTACTCTCTTGACCAGAAATAGTGTTTGAAATGAGGATCTTACACTATTGTAATGCAAGAAATTACTGTTATTGATTTCTCCTTTCCCTGGTCCTCCCTCAACACCTAAAAAGACTCCCAGACAGGTTACACAGATAATAATGATTCTGTATAGATATTAGGAGACTTGCCTGGCTGGTGTGGCTCAGTGGATTGGCTGTTCTCCTGTGGACTGAGAGGTCCCATTTGGATTCCCAGTCAGGGCATATGCCCGGGTTGTGGACTTGATCCCCAGCAGGGGGTGTGCAGGAGGCAGCTGATTGATATGTCTCTCTAACATCAATGTTTCTGTCTCTCTCTCTCTCTAAAAAAAATCAATAAATACAAGAGACTCACCAACTCATTCAAGGGGTGGAAATTTTCATCCAACGAGACAATACGGAACTTCACTGAAACAGAAATATTTTCCATTAGTCCTAGAAATCTCAAACCTGGCCTATAGGCTGGTAAGACAAATTATTAAGAAATCAGGATTATAGGGCTTTTGACTGGGAAATACATAGGGGAGGATCTTTTGTTTTTGAAGTTGTCCTGACTGTAGACCTCTTTGTACCTGTCTGTCCTGGTTTGTAGATGGGTTTGTCTGTCTGGACGAAGACCAGGCTCTTGTGGTTTTTAACCACCACTGTGGTCTGCCTCCTGAATTCTTGGGTGGCTCCTTTAACTTCAACAGTAAAAAACATTACCTCTTCACTGTGTGAAGATCTTGGGACCTGAAATACAGGAGACATCATGAGAATCCATTCAGTCTTCCATGTTTCTTCCCCCTTCCCTGTTTCACTCCTCCCTGGAGATCTTGCCTCTTTTACTAACCCCACTCCCTCATTCTTATCACAGAAAATTGGCATGGACGGAAATTACTTCTGTCATTTTACAAGTGGGGAGGCAGAACACAAGATGGAAGAAAATACATTGGTAAGAAAGGTCATAAATGAGATTCACGTCACCTTATATAGATCAGTCTTGATTCAGTTATACACTGAACTTGACCGAGTTTTTGTTATGTGCTAAAAGGGCATGGTAGAAGCCTATATTTAAGGCTATGAGAAAGAAAAGTACAATATTTTATTGCTATGGGTTGTGAGCATTTTACATATGGGCAACACTGAAGAGTTATTGGATATTTGCTCAGGGAACTTTGTACAACTTTCACTCTTAGAAAGAGTATGAGTTGATATATTCCTGTCAGCCCACGACTGGGGGCTTATATTGAATATTGGCCTAGTTTGCTTTATTCATATTTTTTTTCTATTTTATTTTAAGAAGTCACATTTTCCCTTGGTCTAGTGCATACTGGTTGTTTTTTCCCCCAAGCTAATGGGAATTTTCTTTGATCATTAAGTTGATTTTAATATGCCTATAAATATTTGTTTCCCATAGTTGGTAATTCTTGCATTGCTGTTTAATTTCTATACCTAGTTGCTATATTCAGATTCCTTTCTGAAGTCCTTGCCATCCTCTCAAAGCCTTATCTTGACTGAATTCTGGACCCTGTGACCCGGGCCAATGGAACCAAGTATATTAAGTCAAGCAGCCATACTCACAGTGAATGAAACACAGTGGAATAAGTCCTTCTCTGCCACCATGTTAGTGACGAGGCTCCTGTTCTCCCTGAGAGACTCCAAGGAAGCACTTACAGTCACTGTCTCATTCAGGTGGCTCAGAAGGAGGCAGGCCTTCTCAGGGGTCTCAGTGTGGAGCAAGGAGGGGACCAGCACCATAAATTGCCTGGAAATGAGGGAGTCCAGTTAGAGGAGAGTGTAGGAGGAGAGGCATTGTTAACAACAGCACTATTTTTCATAAAACTTATTGGTACTATCATTAGTTCTATATCAAGAGAAGACATATTGATAAGCATGAAATTAATCTTTGCTGTTGAATGGCATACACTGGGAATTATTCCCCTGTCCATCACCAGTGCCATGGCAGTGAACATTTTGCTTGAAATGAACTTTAAATAGATTAAAATGAGCAGGTTTACCCTATTTTAAGAAACCCCAAAAGTGTAGGCTTCTGAATTCAAATTAAAAATATTCTAATTATATATATTTATGTTGTAAATCTATTTTACATTGGGATTTCTGTAGAAAGCAAGCAAGCTCTCAGGTGAGACACTGAAAAACCAATCAATTTATAGAACTTTCATTGAATATCTGTATTCTATCTATCTATCTATCTATCTATCTATCTATCTATCTATCTATCTATCTATCATCTGTCTATCTATCTATCTATCTATCTATCTATCTATCTATCTATCATCTATCTATCTATCTATCTATCATCTATCTATCTATCCATCCTGAGAAATGGTATGGTAAGTACTTGCTTGCTACTAAGACATGAAATCTGAGACTTAAAGCAAGTGAGTCATTAGTTTAAAGTCTCAGTTGTGGTAAACAACTAATGAAATCGTAGTGTTTAATGAAGCCCTGGATGTTTACATTTTAAATATTTGCTTTTCATCTCCTGCTAGACAATGATTCTAGTAAAAAAATTATCTTCCAGTGATTGAATTTTGGGTCTTGGTAACTCATGAGTAAAACAGAAACATTCCCAATACTCTCATATATACTTTTATTGACCCTGTAGTTTTCAAACATTTTTTAATTGAGTTTATTGGGGTGACATTGGTTCATAAAACCATACAGGTTTCAAATGTACAACTCAACAAAACACCATCAGCATACTACATCGTAGGTCCGCTGCCCAAAGTAAAATCTCTTTCTAATCCTATTTATCCTGCCTGTGTCTTCTTCCACCTCCCTTACCCCTACCCCCTTTCCCTTTGGCTATCATCATACTGTTGTCTGTGTCTATATGTTGTATATATATATATATATATATATATATATACACACACACACACACATATATATATATAATTTTTTTGCTTAATCTTTTCACCTAGCAATTTTGTTCACAGAACTCTCACAATAATTTTTAGACAGCATGCATTCCTTACATATTTTCAAGAGAACATCTACTTTTTAAATCATAAGTTTAAATAATAGCAAAATATGTTATTTATGATGATATTTTAAGTTAAAACATATCATTCTTTAATAAGTTTCCCATGAAATCTTAAATATCATGGAGATAAAATACCCAATATAACTGATTTATAAAATAAATCAAAATGTTCTTTTTGTGATGATCAGAAATTCAACATCTTTCCCTTTTTTTTCCTCATGCCACTTACTACAGAGAAGTTTATCCTAAGATTTTTATGCTTCAAAATATTTTATGAATTACTCTTGCTTCTTCATTAACAAGTATACATATATGTATATATACTTATAAATTTAATATTATATATGGGTATATAAATTTAACTTTAACTCTTCTTTTTAATTTAATGTTACCCTAAAGTTGTAAATGTTACACATTTTCTTCTCGATTCAGTTATTTTCAAAATCCATACTTATATACAACTGATCAAAACAAAATAAATATATTATAATACATACATATTAGATATAAAATCAAAATACTTTAGAAGCACATATTTAATAGAATGATGTGCTTTTTTTTATGTATCCATAGATGGATATTCCTTATTGCAAGAATTAAACAAGGTCTAACATTAACTCTGTTGCTATTTTTGGTTTGTGTAGATGTAAGTACCATGAAAAATTATTCACATAAAAGTAAGCATATGACAGATAAAACAATTATATCATTATTATCAGTTCTTGTAAACTTCTTCTACGTTACATGCCAGAAATCACCCAGTGCCCTATTAGCAAGAATTGCTTCTAGTCATATATCAGCTGGTATTTCCTTTAGGTTTTCCTTCAATTTTGATGAAACAAAAAAATTTGTCACCATATAATCTGCAAAAGAATTTTCTTCCCTGTCCATAGAATGCTTTGCTTTCTCAAACTAAACATCAATATTTCAAATTGTTCCTTTCTTTGGCACCCTAAAGATTTTTATACTCTAGGACAATGCTCTATGGTAACATCTGATTGAGGGAGAGATTTGCCTTTCTCTTATAAAGTGAAAGATGGGCAATTAAGGAAGGGGAGGTAAGAAAGGATAAATAGCATGGTCTCAAGCTGATCAGTGTGAATGTGAGAATCTGAAAGCTGATTCCTTTAAAAGTATCCATTTTTAATGTTCTTTAGAAAGTTTCGGTATATCCTCAAATAATTTAGAAGTTCAGAGTTCAAGAGAATTGGAGAAAAATGGTTAAGAATAAGTAAAGAATTAATAAACCAGATTTATAAAATCTCATCCCTGAAAGAGACCTCACAAATAAGAAGGTAACAGTTTCATAAGGAAAACAAATGATATAAAGGAAAATCTAAAATAAAGAAAAGGATTCTTTTTCGGAACTCTTAAAAGTGCACTTTAATGAACCAAGCAGGAGTTTAAAACAGATATGGTTGCTCCACAGAGTATTTCAATTCAAAGCAGGAAAAATGTAAGGACTCTAAGTTTATGCTCTATGGGAAACTCACGTTTGTCCAGAAACAGAGGCATTTGTAGTCAGGAAGACCAGAAGGAGCAGAATAAGACTTGGATGGAGTTTGTTCTTCCCCATGTTGCAGGGAGAAGGGGCTTAAGGAGACCAGACTGTATTGTACCCGACTCCCTGCAGTTGATCTGGTCCCAAGCATTCCTCAGAGCAACTAGGTTTTATGTTGCTCTCTGAGCAAACAGGAAGTTCCACCCACACCAGATGTCTAAACAAACTAGAGGTCTCTGAATGTTCCCTGAAAGGGTCATTGCTCTCAGGGGCCTAATTATGGTCAAGGTTAATTCTTGGCGGGCCAAATAGAATTCCTGGAGGGATAAAAATCTACATTCCCGTAAGTGCTCACTTTCAGTTTTACTATAAAGCAGCTAATCGGCTTTCCAACCCTGTCTCTTTCTTACTCCCTTCTTCCACTTCCCCACAGCACCTTTTCTGGCATTCCTCACGTCTTCTGCATGAGGAGGTGGTAAGGGAAACTATAATTTAAGCAACACTGGACAGGCTCAAAATAGATATTTTACTGCAGTTAGTGAGCCTGCAAGTCCTCTGTTAGAGATGCCTACCTTAAATGTTGAAGCATTTTCAGAATTCAGTAGTTCTCTATGGAAATGATGTTGGAGTAAGCTAATACGTGTTTTTTTTTTTTTTTTTGTAAATCTTCACCAGAGGATATTTTTCTATTGATTTTTAGATAGAGTAGAAGAGAAGGAAGGATAGAGAGAGAGAAAAACTTCGATGTTAGAGAGACATAGTTGTCTCCTGAATGACTCTGACTGTGGCTGGGGATTGAACCTACAACCCATTTATGTGCCCTTGAACAGGAATTGAACCCATGACCCTCCAGTGCTAGGCTGATGCTCTAACTGTTGAGCCAAACCGGCCAGGGCAAGCTAATAGATTTTTGACCTTAGGTATATCACTGGATTGCAGATGAAGAGTCAGTCCTAGAAGAATGATAATTGAAAATATTTTCCTGTATTAAGAAAGTGAAAAGATGAAAGGAGAAGTAGCAAGATCTCAAAAACAAGCTTTGACCTGTGTCTAGCAAAGATGACAGTTGACTTTACCTTCGACTCCACAAACAAATTTTGTTACTGACTTCTAAATATGCTGCTCCTTACCAATCTTTAATCATATAAACTATTTCATCTATTTATTCATTCATTTGTTCATCCAACTACTTGTTGTTTTTTTAAATAAGTATTTTAGAACCTAGTATAGGGTTAGTTATCTTGCAAAATCATGGAGACGGAATTGGAATTGGTACAATTGTATAGGTGAGAGATGATACTATTTTGAATTAGGGTATTCATAATGAGTTTGAAAAGTGGATGACAGATGTATATCATATTTAAAAGGTAAAATTATAGTATACAATGAATATATAAGTGTGATGGATAAAGGAGAATGTGCTTTTCGATTTTCTTGGCTGGTCACTAAGTGAATTGTGTTGCCTTTGATTTAATGAAACAGAGGAAACACAGGGTAGGGACAGAAGGACAGAAGGACTGAGGGCTGGAAATATAGAGTCTAGTTTTAGAAAGTTCTTGTGGGATATTCAAGTATTAATAGTCACAGGGAGATTATCATTTTCATCTAGAGTTTAGAGCAGTGTTGTCTAATAAAAATAAATGTGAGCCTCCTGTGTAACTACTTTTTCTAGTAGCCACATTAAACAAACAAACCAACAAAAAACAGATTGAAATTAGGTTTTATTTAACTCAGTGTATGCAAAATATTATTATTTCACTATTTAATTAATATAAAAATTATTAATGAGATTCTTGACATTTTTTGGTACTAAGTCTTTGAAATCTGTTGTAGATTCTACACTTACAACACATGTCAGTTTAGACTAGCTATATTTCAAGTGCCTCATTGCCCATGTGGCTACTGGTTACCATATTTGACATAGTAAACTTACAACTATGTTTTTCAAATTATGGGTCACATTATCGTGAGTTATATCAGGATCAATGAGTCATGACCAAGGTTTTTTTTTTTTTTTTTTTTGGTTGATTTTAGAGAGAGATTAGGGGGGAGAGAGAGAGAGAGAGAGAGAGAGAAACATCAATCAGCTACCTCCCTTATGCACCCTGACCATGGATTGAACCCATAACCTGAGTATGTGCCCTGACCGGGAATCCAATTGGTGACCTTTCAGTTTATAGGACAATACTCAACCAACTGAATCATACCAGCCAGGGCTCATGACCAAGTTTTAAAATATTGAAATATAATATAATAAAATAAAAAATACAGTGAATCAAGAAGAGTAAGTGAAAATATTGATTTTGGAAACACCTGTTTTATATAATTTTAGCAGAAACTGCTGGTTGAGTCCTATTAGTCCTTTTCTAATTCTGTCTTTAATAATAAAACTCCCAAAAGAAAGCCTCTTACCCTTTGAGATGACATGGGACTTGGAGAATATTATGTTAAGTGAAATAAGCCAGTTAGAGAAAGACAAGTACCATATGATCTCACTTTTTTTTTTATCCTCACCAGAGGACATTTTTGCATTTATTTTTGGATAGAGCCGGAGGGAGAGAGAGAGGAAGAGAGAGAGAGAAACATTAATGTGAGAGAGACACATCAACTGGCTGCCACCCGCATGACCCCAGCCGGGGCCTGGGACAAACTGCAACCGAGGTATGTGCCCTTAGCGGGAACCAAACCCACGACTCTCTGTTCTGTGGGCCTACGCTCTAACTGCTAAGCCAAACCAGCCAGTGATCTTACTTTTTGTGGATTATAGTGAACAAAGTATATCCAGAGGCATGGAAGTAGGAAACAGACTGACAAAACTTAGAGGGAAGGGAGGAGGGGGTGGGAGGCTGGAAGAGGTACACCAAAGAAATTATATGCATATATGCATAACCAGTAAACACAGACACAGTGCGGTGAAGGTGGCAAGTAGGGGAGCAAGGAGCAGGGTGTAAATGGGGAAAAATAGGAGGGACATCTGTAATACTTTTAATAATAAAGATTAAAAAATAATAATAACTCCTGAGTTTTAGCTGGGCACAACATTTTGTTTCTCTCTGGAAGTGAATAGGCGAAGTTCTGATGATCGGAGTGTGAGTGGAAGTGATGTCTTCCTTACCACTGGTTGGTATGTGAACAGGATGACTGTAGTCAGACCTTCTACCATAGACCATAAGATGGGGGCCATGTGACAAGGAAGAATAACTAGCAAGACACAGTCTCAGTCCCTGAATCATCTAGATTGGACTTTCACTTCAGAGAAAAATGATTTCTTTTATTTAAGCCATTGCATCTTTTTGTTAAAGCAGTAAAACTTATATCCTAACTCATATAATTTCTCCTTTATCACTATCTCCTTCCATCATCTCTATCCTTAACTATGAGTGTCGTAGGTCACAATGTAAAAAAATTTACACTGTGGGAATGTGATTATAGTGTTATACTGTGACTATGAAAATGTACAAAATTTATTACTGTAGGTTAAAGTTAAAGCAATCTGAACACCAACAGTTTACCAAGATCTGGCCTAATTAGACCGATTAAAGATTTATTAGCTTATTGGGAGAGCTGGTGTTATTGAAATAGATGATAATACCTAAGTAAGGTATATTGATGAAAAAAAAAGAACCCAAGGCAGAGCCCCAAGGAATACCAGTTAGGGCTCGAAAATGGAACAAGGGACTGAGAGGAAAGGAGAACAATCAGGAAAGTAGAGACCTGTGAGTCCCAAAGAAGAGACAATATTAAGGAAAAAAATCAAGAGAAGACTTTTATTAGTCAGAATGATTGGGGCTTTAGCCAAGACACCAATGTTAAGAGCATACAAAATAAAATAAAAAATCTTTTCAAAAGTGCATGATTTTATAATGTGTTAATTAAAAATATAACAGACTTTAAACTGTTTTTGAGAAACTAGAAATAATTAAACACTTATTTGTAAGATTAATTATTTAAAGTAGGAGGGGACAATAACATTGATAGCATTCATTTTGTGCCTGGTCACAAATTACAAAAACGATCTGTAAAGATTAGTATTGCTAAATCCCTGTCTATTAATCTCAAATGCCACTGTGAAATCAAATGACAGGTTGAATAATCATTGATCTGCTGTTGGATTTAGGAACAAGGAGAATATTGGAATCCAGCTGTTTCAATGTTTGTGTAGAATCTGGAGTGTAGCTTGTGGAAGAGTGAGAGGACCCAGGACCAATTTCCCAGTTTGTCTGGAGGGGAAGAGAATAGTAAGGCAGTACTTGGCGGAGATGTGAGAATGAGAGGGAGGTTTCTTTAAGAGGAGAAAGACTTGAACAAGATAAAATAAAATGTTGCTTCTATAAATGCTGAGTGGGAGGTGCAAATGAAGGGGTAGAGGTTGAACATAGTGCTATGAGAGAGAACTCTGAGGATGTGGAAGGTGGATGTATTAATAAAGTAGGTGCAGGCGTTATCCTCAGGAGAAGTAATACCACTTTGGTATATTCATAGATGAAGAGGAACGTTTTATCTAAAGTGGTCCATTCAGCTTGCTCTCTCTTTCTGGATCATGCCTCGGCCTTCTCCCTTTTTTCTTCCCTAGGGTGTTTACTTTGACTTTCTTCTAAGCTGCAAGGGCCCTTCTTTTGAACTCTATAACTTGTTTTCTGAGCCCACGCAGCCCAGCTGGCTCACTTCTTCCATGGCTCACTTCTACCTCTGTGACTTTCTAAATAAATTTTGCTTGTAAAATTTTTAAAAAGTGCTCTGTTCACTAAGGTGAAACTTTCTCTTCTTGGGAAAAGGGAAAACAAGCTTAAATGGATCAGTTGTTAGGATGCTGGAGTTCTATTTTTGACTCAGCCTGGGTAACTACTCTGAACTTCAGCTTCCTCATCAAAAAATGTGGGGGTAATAATACCTGTACTATCACCTTCACTGGTGATACAGTTTTACACAAGATGCTATCTATATGTAACAGGGTTTTTAAACCTGTAAATCTTACTGTATCAATGAAAACTAATATTTATATTTTAAATCTTAATGACTGAGGAAGAGTTCTATTTCATACCTGTTTTGGGCTTTAGTATAAGATGACCAAATAAATGGATGGTATATGATCCAAATACAGGACGTTAGTTAAGTAACAAGTCCTTGCAAGAATACAGAAGGCATAACTTGGACAAGT